AGGCGAGACATTTTGATGCAACGACCCGCCGTTATTTTTCCGACAGACTGATAGTATCACCCTAAGACAGAGCGCGTTTGTAGCGAGCCAGAACCCAAGCCAAGAGACGATGACAGCTGTGGCCGAAGGGATGTAAAGCTACATGTAAATATATTATATTATGTTTTATCAGTCTGTCGGAAAAATAACGGCGGATCGTCGCAGTAAAATGTCTCGCCTCGCCGCTATCGCGCACCAAATCCCAAGCCGCGGCTTGCAGTCGCAAAGCGATGATGGGCGATTCCGAGGCGCGACGATCCACCGTTATTTTCCCCACAGACTGATAGTAGGCTTTTTTCTGGCTGTCACTCTCACCGTGACTTTTCCTGCACAGTGCAAGCCACTGAAGTGGCTTTGGCGACATGCACTGTGCAAAAGGAAGGTTCACCTTGCACTGTGCAATTTGTTGCTTTTTGCACTGTGCAATGGGCGTTCTCGGGCTGTCGCTCGCACCCTGACTTTGTCTGCACAGTGCATGCCGCAGAAACTACTCTGGCGACTTGCACTGTGCAGAAAAATTCAGAGTGCGAGCGACAGCCCGGGAAACCCTCTTGCACTGTGCAAAAACCAACAAATTGCACAGTGCAAAGAAAAATTTTGTTTTTGCACAGTGCATGTCGCGAAATCACTCCATCGACTTTGCGAACGGACATGAACCTCATTTTTTCGGTTGAAGACATGATTACAGCCATAATCCGCAAAAGAAATTAAGACGGAAAGCATACGGTATGAGACGGGAAATTGCCGTTTGACCCCCGTCCCCTAACAGCAAATCCGTTTTGAAAGCAAAGAAGATATGAATATATACACTCCACTCAACATTCTCAGAAAAACCACCCAGCCCATCCGTTTGATGGAATTAAATATAATGGAGAATTTATTATAGCACATTGCCTGGAAGCCGATTTCATCGAAAAAAGTATTTAGTAGAGGTTTATCAGTCTGTCGGGAAAATAATGAACACTCTGTCGCATCGAACATCGCATCACCGTCGAGAAAATGAATTGTGTGGCGGCGAAATCGAATTGCTTTTCAAATCAGCGACAGGATCGGCGTAGCGACATTGCGCATATTAGTTTCCCGACAGACTAATAATTTCGAACGCTATGCAGTCAGAATATACCAGAATTTTCATAAAGCCGTAGACAGAGATTGCCACGGTCAAAATTTCGGCTCCGGCTCCGGATCTTAGCTCCGAGAGCCGGAGCCGAGGCCAACTTTGCAGCTCCGGCTCCCCCTCCCGGCTCCCATGAAAAACTTAAAACGGTTTGCGGCTCCGAATCCCGGCTCCCGTGCAAAGAACTTTAAAAAAAATTTTCCCAAAAGAAAACGTTGTTAGTGCCAGAGGTCATACAGCCAAGGTTTTTGCAGCCAAGTCGTACGCAACGCATCCTCCGCAGTATTTTTTGAGCAATTTGGTTCAACAAGATCACGAAATTTTCACTTTTCTGAACGCTGAGAAGCCTGGCTCCGACTTTGGGCTCGGGATCCGGAGCCGCACCCAAAATTTCCGGCTCCGGCTCTGGCTCTCGGCTCGGAGCCGGAGCCGCTCAGAGCCGGAGCCAAGAGCCGGCTCCGGAGCCGTGGCAATCTCCGGTCGTAGATTCTTGCCCTGCGCACTTTGCCATCTTCACGCGACACAACACTTTTTCAAAGCGTCTTTGCCTTGTGCAATTGTCTCAATTTTTGCGACGGCGTAACGAAAAAAGACTTGCGTCGCAGCGATTTTGCTTGAAAAATAAACTTTGCGGGCAGCTTGAAAAACCACGGAGATTCGGCGGACATCTTTTGAAATCAGCCAAAATTTGCTTACAACCAGAGATTTCCGCGGCTTCGGAGCCGGCTCTTGGCTCCGGCTCTGAGCGGCTCCGGCTCCGAGCCGAGAGCCAGAGCCGGAAATTTTGGGTGCGGCTCCGGCTCCCGAGCCCAAAGTCGGAGCCAGGCATCTCAGCGTTCAGAAAAGTAAAAATTTCATGATCTTGTTGAAGCAAATTGCTTGAAAAATACTGGGAAGGATGCGTTGCATACGACTTGGCTGCAAAAACATTGGGTGTATGATCTCTGGCACTAATAACTTTTATTTTTGGAAAAATATCAAATTTTTTTTTTACACGGGAGCCGGGATTCGGAGCCGGAGACCTTTTTAAACTTTTCATGGGAGCCGGAGCCGGAGCTGCCGGAGTTGGCCTCGGCTCCGGTTCTGGGAGCTCAGAGCCGGAGCCGAAATTTTGGCCGTGGCAATCTCTGCTTACAACTGGAAACTCTAACGATGAATTTGGCATTAGATGGTGCGGATTAAGTTTCCAGGTGCATAAGTGGCTTGCATAGTTACCATAAGCTTATCCAGGCATTTTTTACCGTTTTTTGAAAACAAACTCGTTTAACTTTGAAAGCAGTGGATAAATTTAATAGATTTCTGGACTTATCAGTACCAGAGAGTTGTCAATGTAAAATTTATATCGTACTACGTAGATTACGGGAGGGAAATCGTAATTCTGATCAAAAAATGTCGGTTGCCCGCAGAGGGGTTGCCCGCAAGGGTCGCGACGCCGAACCTAGCCCCTCAGCGTTTTTCCAATTGCACCGTGCAAGAGATCAAATGCACAGTGCGGAAAGCGTGCGACAAAAAAGTCTACGCACTTTTTGAAACTCGCAATACCATATGCCGAACGAAAAAACAGTATACATTTTTGATGTTTCAATTCTTCATACAAAAACTTTTTTTTGATGTTTTATTTCTTCAAAAGGACAAAACCGACGTGGATTTTTTGACGCGGCGCGCATCAAACATTTATGATGTTGGACCAAATAAAATATGTATTTTTGATGTCACAATTTACTAAGCATTCGTTCGCCCCCAAACTTGGGCGATGGGGACTCGGCGCGAGCCGAAACCGCGGCCTTGGAGACCCAGGTATTCCCTCCGGGATTACTGTATCAGTCGGTTGGGAAAATAATAAGCAAAATATCGCGGCAGGAGAATCGTGTCGCTGAAGTGAAAAGCAATTTGATTTTGTCACAACCAGAGATTGCCACGGTCAAAATTTCGGCTCCGGCTCTTAGCTCCCAGAGCCGGAGCCGGGGCCAAATTTGCAGCTCCGGCTCCGGCTCCCATAAAAAATTTAAAAAGGTCTCCGGCTCCGAATCCCGGCTCCCGTGCAAAAATTTTTTAAAAAATATCTTACCAAAAATAAAAGTTATCAGTGCCGGATATCATACACCCCACGTTTTTGTAGCCAATTCGTAAGCAGCACATCCTTTCCAGTATTTTTCAAGCAATTTGGTTTATGAAATTTTTGCTTTTCTGAACGTTGAGAAGCCTGGCTCTGGCTCCCGGCTCGGAGCCGGAGCCGCTCAGAGCCGGAGCCAAGAGCCGGCTCCAGAGCCGTGGCAATCTCTGGTCACAACACAATTCATTTTTTCAGCGGCTATACGATTTTGGATGCCACAGAGTGCTCGTTATTTTCCCGACAAACTGATAGTTGCGTTTCAGGCCAAACTCCAATATATTTTGAATGAATTCCGCCTACTTGCGAAGAAATAAATGTCCTCGCTTGGAGACTAAATCACATGTCAATCCGACCGTTTTGAACTTTAGTCCATACACCATTGATCGATCAACAGGTTTTCCTAGCCGCACCACTGTAGTAAAGTCCGTTGAATTTTTTCAACGCTCGCCGAAAAGTGCATGTCACAAGTGTAGAAACATGAAGTCGTAGCGGCGTGCGTCTGCTTCGAACAAAAAAAGCAAACGCACTTTATGGTAGGCAGCAAAATTCCTTCGGAAGAATTTTTGAAGAACGCAATTGGTCTTAAAAATATCAAGAAGCATTTACAATGTTATTGTCTGACAAGGGAAGGCGTCCAAGTGCGACGCTCAGATTTTCCTCAAACTTTGCACACACGACGGGCATTGTACCATCTTGCATCCGGGAAGTACGGAAAACGTAGCAAAATACCTCCCTCTTCAAGTGAGAAAAAACGATGATTCAGCGACATTTCATCAAAAATCAATGATCCGAGATTCCTTGTTTTTTGACTTTTTCTTTGACGTGGAGGCGTTTTGCTACATTTTTTATACTTCCCGGATGCAAAATGGTACGTTTTTTGCCACTGGATCAGGTCCGTCACTGGTACGGAACTTTTGACGCTAAAATTTGCAAAAAGGTATCGCGTCTTTTCCAAATTTCGACCCAAAATCTTGGTCGTTTCTGCAAAGCGCGGGCTTGAGGTCTCGCCTATGTAAATATTAGAAAACATTTTTCTAAATTTACGATAAGTTTCCTCAAAATCTGAGTGTCGCACTTGGGATACCTCCCCCGTCAATACTCACAGTTTCGACGTCATCCAAACTATGAGTAAAAAGTCGCTTACGTTCTGTCCAAACTTGCTCCCAGCTGGTCAAAAGCGACAAGAATAAGAATTGTATTACTGTATTCTTCCGGGAGGCCTTATATACATACTCGTGACAATGGCTCCTCGTCTTCTAAATGATGTCAGCGAATTTTGAATCAGCCGACAAATCCCGCTGTAGCACTGCATACGATCTATTATAATCCCCGACTTATCGGCCATGTCAATGAAACGTGAGCCTCTTAGCCCGAATGCCTGAGATCGCTGGGATTCCCGGCCTCATTACTATAATGGTGGAGGAATGCATTTGAGTGCAATAAACCTGGCCCGGTGTGTAGTTTTCCAGGTCTTGGAAACGTTTTTCGGCGCCCTAAGCCGTTTTCGGAAAGCTTCTTTTCCGTATACTACGGTCACGTATGCATTTTGATAATATCAAAAAACTTCAATTACATGTTGCACTTAATGTTTTATTTTCGTCACAGCAAGGGAACAGAGGACAAAAACAAACAATAAGAATGTAGCGGAAGCCGACTTGTAGTCGTTACAGTCGGCCAATTTCAGAAGTAAAGGTTTACTCAAGAGACTTGAAGAGGTTGTTGAAGAACGTCTCACGCCTTGGCCACACGAGCCGCAGCGACAGGCCGATTGGCATGACGGCGAGCTGCGACACGTCGACGATAGGAAGCCGGAGCGCCAACCGCAGGACCGGCATTGTAGGCGGTCTGTGGAGCCGCAGCGACCGGCGCCGAACCGGCACGTGGAGGGCATGGGCAGTAAGCGGCATCCTTTCCGTGGGGGCCTTGACCACCGGGAAGTCCGGGATGACCGGCCTGTCCGGGCTGTCCTGGCTGACCGCGAGGTCCGACGGGTCCTTGTGGTCCTGGGTGTCCAAGTGGTCCTCGTTGACCGGGCTGACCAGGATGGCCGGGCTGTCCGGGCTGGCCACGCGGTCCCTTCGGGCCTGGCAGTCCTTTTCCGCGTTGACCTGGGCGTCCCGGTTGTCCCGGACCACCGGGATGGCCTGGTTGACCGGCTGGTCCGGCGTTGCCGGCGGGCCCGTTGGGTCCTGGATGTCCATCTTGTCCCTTGCGTCCGGCTTGACCGGGATGTCCGGGCTGACCGACCGGTCCAGCAGGGCCAGTAGGTCCAGGTGGGCCGCGTGGGCCGGCAGGGCACTTGATGCAACCACCAGGAGCAACATCGTTTCCAATGATACCAACGCCCGGAGCTCCAACTCGGCCCGCCTTTCCGGGTTCTCCATCATTTCCGGGGAGGCCTGGGGTGCCGGGTGGTCCGGCTGGGCCTGGCGGGCAGTTTTGTTGTTGTCGCGCGCACGCACACCCGGCTTGACGTTTGTTGCGGCCAATGAGTCCCATGAACTCGGACTTTTCCATTTTGGGAGAGCGATGAACCAAGCCCGCCCAAGCGTCGTTGGAGAGGATGCGGAACTCGGACATGTCCTCCATGATTTCATCATGCAGCGAGTTAATGTCGTTGAAGATCATTGCGGCGCACACTAGGGACACCACAATCGCCGTGGCCGAGGCAACACAGGCCAAGGAGACGATTGTTTTGTGCGACATCCTGGAAATGAACAATCATCAGCGAAGTTTTTTTCCTTTCTTCAATAAAAGAAGACCCAACTGTTCCAAATGAATGAAATCATAAATCTAATTGAACCTACCTTCACACAAGACAGCAGAGGGAAGTCTGAACTGTTCCGGCAAACCAATGCCTTAAATACCCGCCAAGTTCCTTCAAGTTGTAAACCCGGTTCCCACCGAGTAATGACCATCTTTTTTGTGGAAAAGGCATTACACTGAAGCCAAGGTCCGAGTTGTCGGGCGAAACCGGTTCGGAAACCCCTAACCAAAACAGTAAACATTATTAATCACGGGAGAATGTAACAAAAGTTGAGTTTTGAAACGGTCAAAGCTATTTTAAAAACTTGTTCAGAAAGAAAGTGGGAACTGTTGGAAGCGCGACGCAGAGATTTTCTTGAAATTTTGGACACACGTCAGTCATATGACACTTATCAATGCTTGAAAGTTTTAGCTCGCGCTTTGCAGATGAAGCCGAGATATTGAACAATCTTTGCCGCCGAGAGAGTAAGATAAACACAGAGAACGGTCAGAGAGAAAACCCTTCTTGTCCGGATCTTTGACAGTGTTGAGCGGGAAAATGATTTTTTGTGGAAACATTACTTTCTATTGTAGAAAATAGGCATTAAGTTTTTCGTGCCGAAATTCCGCAAAGAGGGTCAAATTTTTGCCACCTTTCGACCGAAAAATCTCGGTTGTTTCTGCAAAGCCGTGAGCTAAAAATGTCTAAATTTGAATTGGGATATCCCCTTGTCACAGACCGGTCAAAATAAACTGAAAGCGACATTATTATTTATAAAAACTCAATAAAAAGAGAATCCTGGCCACAACGAACAACCAAACATTATCTCAATATCAGTCTGTCGGGAACATAATGAGCAATCTGTCGCGGCCAAAATCGCATCGCGGCCGAGAAAATGAATTGTGCCGCGACAAAATAAAATTTCTTCTCACTTCAGCGACACGACTAACCCAGCGACATTGTACTGCTTATTTTTCCGACACACTGATACAAAGTAATCTCTGTCGCATTATCATTCTGTCGGGAAAATAATGTGGATTTGTAGCGGCTTTCAAATGGCGATCATCGCTTGACAACGGCTAGGTCGAAGATTTGGCGCGCACTGCGAAGAGGCGAGAAATTTTGCTGCGATAAATCCATATTATTTTCCCGACGGAAAATAATGGCAAATTTATTGCGCAGCGAAATTGTGCTCATTATTTTCCCGACGGACTGATACTACAAAACACTCATATTTACCGCTGATAAACGCTCAACGCAAGCCTCCAAACGCAGATCGTTCACACAATATCCGACGAGCAGGCTCGTGGATCCTCCATCTTCGCCCCCCTTCCTCTGCTTCTCCGTCGGCGATTCGGGTAAAAACGAGGGCAAGGTAAAAATGGGAAGGCGGGTGGATTTGAGCGAAAGTGGAGATCTTCTTCCTTTTTCAGCGAAAATCGTCGCAATGAGTCAGATAGCTCCATTGATTTCTGCTTTTATGCAGTTCGGTAGCGTTAATATGCATGGCCTTTGAAGTTTTTCTTTCGTGATTCTTTTATTTTAAGTGTGCATCTACAGGCTATCTTAAATTTCAGGATTTTCAGATGCAAAATGCAGAGAAGTCTTCTGCAACGTAAAATTTTGTGTCTTCTTTGTCTCAACCTGTTCAGGATCGCAGCCTCGCAATACTCTCCATGCAGTGGTAGGAGCTTTTTTGTCTATTATTCGGTGTAAAAATTCCAAGAGAATCTGGGATGGAACTGGAGAGGACACCTGGGCGAAGAGGGCACCATAAAAAACATGATAAGCGGGGATCAAAGGGGATTTTTTAGAACAATTTTTTGGCTAGCCAATATTGGCAAATTAAAAAATACGCCCCCTCAACACACCTATTTTTATCAGTCTGTCGGAAAAATAACGGCGAGTCGTCGCAGCAAAATGTCTCGCCTCGCCGCACCAAATCCCAAGTCGCGGCGTGCAGTCGCAAAGCGATGATGAGCGACTCCGAGGCGCGACGATCCGCCGTTATTTCCCGGACAGACTGATATAATGCGTCCTCTTCGCCGAGGTGCCTTTTTCGCCCTGATGCCCTCTTCCAACCAATTAGAGGTTTTCACAGAACAAAAATCGCGCAACTTTTCATAGTGCAAGCTTGCGCATTTTGGCGCGTCGCTGCGAAAATCGCGACAGAGTGCTTTGCACAGTGCATTTTGACCAAAAAACCTGTTTGCACAGTGCAATTTGAATTTTTCTGTCTGTCGGGAAAATAATGTCGCTGCGCCAATAGAATCGCTGAAGAGAAAAGCAATTTGATTTTTTCGCGGCACGCTTCACTTTCTCCGCGGGGATGTGATTTTCGATGCGACAGAGTGCTCATTATTTTCCCGACAAATTGATAAATCGCCCGCAATTCCAATTTTTCGCAGCGACAACTATTTTTTTCCGGAGTGCGAAGGAGCCATAAATTCTCAGGACTTTTCGCTTGCAGTTTACAATTACAAAAAGGTTACCGTGATTTTCAGGTAAAGCGATATTGGGTGAAAATTGCGATCGGGACGAGGACTGCGATAACAAGGGATCGATTTGCTTGCGCAACAAATGTCAATGCCACCCGTACTACGAAGCCCGGACTTCGAAGGACTATCCTAGAGGCAAATGTGTGAGATGTAAGTTGGGTTTCGCATTATTCTTCATATCTTTAGTGCCGTCACGTATCGGTGAAGAGTGCACAACAAAATGCAGAGAGCCGCTGTTTTGCCGGAATGGAAAGTGTCAGTGTGTTCAGCGCGGCTCGACCAGCGTGCAGAATGGTGTTTGTGTGACAGGTAAGACACCCCCAAATATCAGTCTGTCGGGAAAATAATGAGTGATCTGTCGCGACACGATTTGGACCAATCGTTTCGGTGAAGTGAAAAGTAATTTGATCTTGTCGCGACACAATTCATTTTCTCAGCGGCGATGCGATTTTCGATGCGACAGAATGCTCATTATTTTCCCGACAGACTGATAAAAAATGAAAATATTTGTTCAGTCACCAAAGTCGGCGACCGCTGTTCGCGTCATTACGATTGCAGCTCGCCGTTCTCGGCCTGCGTCAATCAGCAGTGCACGTGCATTGCCGGCACCGTGCAACAGGGGACTCGATGTGTGGCTTCAACCAATTGTCCATTAGGAGGGCAGCCTCATGGAACTTGCACGAGAAGAGTTCCGTTGTCAACAGTAAGCTTTGTATATATGTATATGTATGGCCTCAGGACTTATAAATCTTTGTGTGTCCAGAAAATTTGTCACAATGACATATTTTTTGAATGTGCCAGTGGTATAAACAACAACTGTATATATGGCTAGGAGTACCGAATTTTTTTGACGTGCTCTGTGGAGTACTCCTACCCATATACAGACGTTATTTATACCACTGGCACATTTTAAACATGTGTCATCGTGACAAATTTTGCTGGACACACAAAGATTTATAAGTCTTAAAAAGTCCCGTGCCATATACAGTGGGGACCTGATCCAGTGGCAAAAAACATACCATTTTGCATCCGGGAAGCATCAAAAATGCGGCAAAATGCCTCCCTTTCCAAGTGAAAAATACTCCGACTTCAAAAGCGCGCCAGCTCTTTTTTTGAGGGAGCCCTTCAAAAGGGAGTTTTTTCACTTGGAGAGGGAGGGATTTTGCCACATTTCTGATGCTTTCCGGACGCGAAATGTTACGTTTTTTGACATTGGATCAGATACCCCGCTGTATGTGCCACTCAATCACATAAATTTAGATACCAAATTTTGTTCCTGAAGCGGACACCTGTCAGTCGGGTTATTATTGCGTCACAACGCCGGAGTCACACGCCGGTCACTGCTGTCCCCACAAATGCCCACTTGGAACCCAGGTGGACACGCAATACAGTTGCACTCCCGGCGGTGTGGAGCGGATCTTGGGCAACCTGACGTTGACTCAACGACCATGTCCCAGTGATACGCATTACTGCCATTATGTGGCGGGAGACAGCTTCTCACAAGTAAGCATACGCTCAATTTTAATTGTTCAATTTAAAAACTGAAGATTTCAACGACCCCTGACCCGCTAAGACCCGCTAAATCAACCCGTTTTCAGGCAATATGCTGCAAGCGGCCTTGTAACTCCATGGCGCCTGAAGCGCTGTACATTAACGGAGAGTGTGTGCCGCGTGGCCAACTGAACTCGGCATGCCAAACGCATGATCAGTGTGGCGCCGCTGAGGGAATGGAATGCAAAGATGGGCAGTGCATATGTTCCGACGGGTTCAAACCCCATCTCGATGCCATCAGCAATCCAATCCACAACCCCAGTCAGACCTGCACCAAGGACTGTGCGAAGGACATGTTGAGCCGCGACACGGCTTGTTTTGCGCGAACCCAGCTGGGAGGTCAGTGCTTCGTGCAAGAGCAGTGCCCCGCCAACTCCGGCTGCTACCGAGGACGATGCATGTGCCGCTGTGGCTACAAGCAGGCTAGTAATGGGAAATGCGTGGAGATCCCCCCGCCCACCACGCAAGCGCCTCCGCAAGGTAATTTGGCAAAAATAGAAAGTATCGCGAACAAAAAACCGTTCTTGCCTCTTCCAGGTATTCGAACACCCCAATCGCCCGAGCCGGACCCAAAAGAAACCTTTCTTTGCGTCCTGAATAGGTTTTTAAGCACGAATGGTCCTAGTGCATGCAATCTGAATATTCCAAAAGTCTTTACTTTGCGATCTTAATCGCTGGAATATATGACTAGTAGCTTATAAATCTTTGTGTGTCTATAAAATGTGTCATAATTACACTCGTTCGGAATGTGGCAGTGGTACAGTGGCGAACCTGAGGCAGTGGCAAAAAACGTACCATTTTGCATCCGGAAAGTATCAAAAATGTGGCAAAATACCTCCATTTCCAGGTGAAAGACTCCGATTTCAAAAGCGTGCCCGCTCTTTTTGTGAGGGAAAAGGCGCGCTCTTCAAAACGGAGTTTCTTAGTTAGAGAGTGAGGCATTTTGCCACATTTTTTGGTACCTTAGGGATGTACGTTTTTTGCCACTGGATCGGGTCCGTCAGTGTGTAACCAACGGCTGAATATAGACACGAGTACTCCCTAGAGTACCCATAAAAAAATTTAAGCCCAAAACTTTTGCAATGTGCAATTTGGATGACGGATTTTTTCAATTTTTCCCGAGGCGTGAACTTTCGCAATGCCCAAAAAATTTTTGCTTTCTCTAGGGATTACTCCAAGCCACATACAGCCGTTAGTTATACCGCTTGCAAATTTTAATGCAGAGTCACAGTGACACATTTTTGAACACACATAGATTTATAAGCCTAGAGCGATATATCTATAACCCCAACCTTGCACCACCAAGTTTTCGGCCTTCCCACACTAATATTTTTGACTTCTAGTAATTCCACAAGTCCCCGGTCTTCCCACAGGCAAGAACCTGTTCAGCCTGTTCAACGACTTCCTGAACGGTGGCGGAGGCGGAACCGTAATGGCAGGATAGAAAAACTAGAATACTTTATAGCACCTTTAACACCGTTGCCTTCTCAATTTATAGTGATATTGTATGTATAAATATTGTGCAATAAACTAATCTATAACCAACGGATTTTTTGTTTTTGTGTATTGTCAATCAATGTTCGTTTAGTGTTTTTTTTCAAGAAGCATGTAGGACGTCTAAAAACCTGTGCAAATAACTAGTGGAATGAAAAAAAGAAATATATAAACTGCCGGAATTTATAAAGACTAAGCTCGGAACAAAGACTTCAAAATGAGAGAATTGGGCTTATGCTTACTGATTAGCATTGTCATTGGAACTGCAGGTAAGTTGCTGCAGTATATTTTGTGACAGTATAAGACCTCGGCGATCTCGCGTTGCTAAAACGAAAGGCATTTTGCTGCGACGCAATGCATTCGGAGGCAATAATTCTCGATGCAACAAGGTCCTTGACTATCCGTCTGCCGGGAAAATAATGTGGATGTGTCGCGCATTGGAATTGCCCATCATCGCTTTGCAACCGCCAGCCGCGGCTGGATATTTAGGCTAAACATCATGCCCCGAGAAATCCATATTATTTTCCCAACAGACTGATGTCGAAAGGCCCGACAACCCAGTAACGAGACGAGACGATAGCTCAAGAGTCAAGTGATTTATTCAGTGGAAAGGAGGCCTTTTATAGGGAAGCCCCACGTAGGAAAGTGCAATCAAATTTGAATAAATGCAGATCGTTCCTCGTGGGAAAATCCTCGAAGCTCGGTCGTTCCGCCTCACAACTGATACAGGGACCCGATCCAATGGCAAAAAACGTCTCCTTTTGCATCCCGGAAGGGATCAAAATGACTCCAAACCCTTCCCTTCTCTAAGCCAAAAAACTCCGTTTTGAAAAGCGCGCCCTTTCCTTCAAGGCGGGCTCTTCAAAACGGGGTTTTTTAGCTTATGTTAGAGAAGAGAAGGGTTTGGAGACATTTCGGTCCCTTCCGGGTTGCAAAAAGAGACGTTTTTTGCTATTGGATCCGGTCCCTCACTGTATCAAGACTTTTTTTCTCGGGTATTTTACTACATGCACAACTTTAGTGGCACAGGACTTGGATCTGTTAGGAGGTGAGTTGGTAGCGGACACACCTGCAACCAAGCCCACCACCCCTACCACACACACGACTCCAACCACCCCTACAACCCCAACCACTCCCACCACTCCAACCACGCCAACAACCCCATCACGTAAGTGAAACAACTGCCATGTTTTCAAAACTGTATGTTAGATATGTGCGTTGATGGAGCCTTGAACTGCGCCCAGTTCAAAAGTCAATGTGGAGCGGCTAAAATGAAGCACTACTGCAAGCAAACATGTGGCGCCTGTTCGTCCACAACTCCGTCTGCTTGCGTCGACGGTGCTACTAACTGTGCAAAGTTTTCGCAGCAATGCAGCAAGCCAGCATTTGCAAAAATTTGCAAAAAGACGTGTGCAAAATGTTAATTTATTGTTTTTACCCGCGGCAGAAAGTCAGTGGAATCTGAATTCGTCCAATAAAACGAAACAGATTGACTCTAAAAACGTTCAAAAAAGTTTCGGCGGAATTTCTTTGTCGACGAGACAGACGACAGATCAGTTTGTACAGGTGTTCCTGTTCTGGTAACAAATTCTCCTATGACGTCAATACAACACAAGTGGTGCAGAATATGTGCGGAACATCGGTTTGTCGGGAAAACAATGATCGCAATGTCGCTGCGCCGATCGTGTCGCTGAAGTGAAAAGAAATTTCATTTCGTCGCAACGCAATTCGTTTTCTCGGCGGCGATGCGATCAGCCCATCGACATTGCGTTCACTATTTTTCCAACAGACTGATACAGTGGAGGACCTGTTCCAGTGGCAAAAAACGTACCACTTTGCATCCCGTACCGATTCAAAGGTAGCTTCTATGCCTCCAACAGACGGAAATGTTTCCATAAAAAATCGATTTTTTCCGCGCAGCACTGAAAAAGGTATAGTGACGGACCTCATCTAGTGGCAAAAAACGTATCATTTTTGCATTCGAGAAGCATAAAAAATGTGGCAAAATGCCTCCCTTTCCAATTGAAAAAACTCAAATTTCAAAAGCTCTCCCGCTCTTTTAGTGAGAGAGCCTTTCAAAACAAAGTTTTTTCACTTGGAGAGGGAAGCATTTTGTCACATTTTTGATGCTTCCCGAATGCAAAATGGTACGTTTTTTGCCACTGGATCAGGCCCGCCACTATAACTTTTTCAGGTCTGCGCGGAAAAAATCGATTTTTTTGTGGAAATATTTCCGTCTGTTAGAGGCATAGTAGCTACCTTTGAATCGGTACGGGCCATTTAAAGCGGCGTCCAGAGACGCGACCTTTTCGTATTCATGGAACAACTAGCAATTGCCTTTCAAACTATTCGTCGAATTAAGACTACAATCAATAGCATCATCTCCGAAAGAGATATCACATGTAAAAACAACAGCTTCATTTGAACTCACATGAAACAGAATGGATGAGGAAAGCTGAATAAACAATTTGAATTGAACAGTTGGCAAATGTTTGTGGCTGCAAGGTCCATCCTAATCAATTTTTTATCGAGTTGTACGTTAGGTGGAAGCGCAGATGTACAATCATGTTACTTTTTCAATATAAAAACCGAACACAGCCGTGTGTTTCATAGATTATTTGGCCAACTATAGCCATCATGAAGTTGTTAGTGCTGTTGTTGGCCATCGCCGTAACTCGTAAGTATGCGGCAATTGTATAGTGGCGGACCTGATCTAGCGCCAAAAAACGTACCATTTTGCATCCGGGAAGTATCAAAAAATGTAGCAAAACACCTCCCTCTCCAAGTGAAAAAACTCTGATTTCAAAAGGCCTCCTTCAAAGCGGAGTTTTTTAGTTGGAGAGGGAGGCACTTTGCTATATTTTTTGATACTCCCCGGATGCAAACGGTACGTTTTTTGCCACTGGATCAGGCCCCTCACACTGTATGTGTCTTTCATGTTGAAAGTCTGTAAACCAGCGATATTGCAGAAGCGCAAGACGTCGAGACAACCTCTACTAGTCCAACTACACCCACAACTCCAACTACTCCGACTACACCTACCACTCCGACCACGCCTACAACTCCTACAACTCCCACAACCCCCACGACGCCGACAACTCCCACTACACCAACAACCCCGACTACCCCAACGACGCCAACTACTCCCACAACGCCGACAACTCCAACTACTCCTACAACTCCCACAACGCCAACTACTCCTACCACACCGACGACTCCGACTACTCCTACAACTCCCACAACGCCTACAACTCCTACCACACCGACGACTCCGACCACCCCGACAACCCCTACTACACCAACAACCCCCACGACGCCGACAACTCCCACTACACCAACAACCCCGACTACCCCAACCACGCCAACAACCCCCACTACTCCAACTACACCAACAACTCCAACAACACCTACCACGCCAACAACACCAACCACTCCGACAACCCCCACCACTCCAACCACCCCAACTACTCCAACGACACCGAAACCATCGCGTAAGTCACGTAAATCTCAGTCTGCCGGGAAAATAGCGGCGGGTCGCCGCGCCTTGAAATCGCCCATCATTACTTTGCGACCGCTGGCCGCGGCTGGGGATTTAGTGCGCGACTGCACGCTTTTTTCAACGAGGCGAAACATTTTGCTGCGACGACCCGCCATTATTTTTCCGACAGGCTGATATTACCATTACTCGACGTTTCAGCAATCTGCTCCGATTTTGCTCTAAACTGTGTCGACTTCATCGCCCAATGCAAGACCGAAAAAATGGAAAAGTATTGCAAATCGACTTGTGGTCTTTGCAACCCGTTACCAAAGCCACCTTGTCTGGACGGTGCGACAAACTGTCTGGTATTCCGTTTCCAATGCAGAAACCCCACCATCGCTGCAGTTTGCAAACGTACGTGTGGCGAATGCTAAATTACCGACTCATTGTTGTTGCATTCCGATTTGCATGGACTTTAGAGCGTTCAATAAATTTTATTATGCAGTGTTGTGTTCGGTAAATACTTTCAAGGGGACTTGGATTGATTTTGTTTTGAATGTTATCAAAGATTCTGTGACAGGTCCAAAATCGAGACCTCTCTGTTTGACATTCAAAACAAACATGTTAACCAATCAAAATTGACATGAAAATCAAAGGCCTAGGACAGAAAATGAAGGAGAATTTAATGGTAAAAGAAACATTTGGCTACACCTTAACATGCTGGCGTCAGGACGTCTAAAAAAGCTACCATTTTTTGGACAATCTTTATATTATGCCTCCGACAAATCCTACTGCTAGGTATACACAGACACGAAAAACACGACCCAAAATGTCAATTTGATGTATTGTTAGCAGCTTGGCAAACATAAAACAAATTATAAAGATTTCTCCCCGACCCAATTATTATGTTTCATTGGCATCTTCAAAAGGCCCGAAATGCTGTACTGCCTGTTTCTTGTGTTTGGCCTTGCTCGTAAGTCGATAAAAGCTTTTGCAATCAAAAATGCTGATGTAAAAATGTTGACATTAAAGTAGCCGCGGAAACGGAGCCCACAACTCCTACCACTCCAACGACGCCCACAACTCCCACCACGCCAACAACTCCGACTACTCCAACTACTCCAACAACCCCAACGACTCCGACTACTCCTACAACTCCCACCACGCCAACAACTCCGACGACACCGACAACTCCGACCACGCCTACGACTCCGACAACCCCTACTACCCCCACCACCCCTACTACACCAACAACTCCAACCACACCGACCACTCCAACCACACCGACTACTCCCACTACACCGACCACTCCAACAACTCCCACAACCCCTACTACGCCAACTACACGTAAGCCTTTATATTTGTTGTACTAGTCGTTCCAGAAAGTGCGTGCACTTTTTCCACCTTTTTTACACCGCACGGTGCAAGTTTCGTGTTCCCCGCGCGACGCGATCCGTTTCGAAACATTTTACACTGTGCAATTTCTAAAAATTCGCGCCAGCTCCGTTGAGAAAAGCCTGCGTCGCTGCAACATTGCAAATGCACGGTGCAAAAAGTCAAATGCACCCCACAAGAATGGAATTTTGTGCACAGTGCGGCCCACGACAAAAAGTGCACGCACTTTCTGGAACGGCTAGTATTAGGGTGTCCCATAAGTCTTGCAAATTTTTGGGTCGTCGATTTGTACGAATTCTTGTAAGCTTTGAAACATTACGGAGTATGTTGGATATACGCGTTTGAAGCACAGATAAAGCGCTTCTAAACCGTATATGACAAGGCCACATAAGGTCAATAATTCATGACGAAAAGACCATTTCAGCGGCGTGCGCTGACATTGCCCTCAACTGCGTTGACTTTGTGCAGCAATGTAAAACACCAAAGATGCAGACCTACTGCAAAGCCACTTGCGGTGCATGCTCGTCAACGCCGAAGATTTGTCTTGACCGCGCCGTCAACTGCCTGCAGTTCCGCTTCGAATGCGGGAGCCCAGCAATTGCCAAGGTGTGCAAGAAGACCTGCGGTGCATGTTGATTTTGCATCCGCTGAACTAATCAGTTCCGTTGAAAAAATTAAATTATCGTTGAATAAATAATGCGCAATCAAACGCTAGTTGATGATTACGGCAGTTTCAATATATCATGCTTAAACTTTGACCTTTAAACACAGTTCGAGTTTGGCGTTTTGCTAGCAAACCAACGCGTTCAACGTAGGCAGACGGTCTAGCTGTGCAAAATTCCTTGATTTTCAAAGAAAAAGTTATTTGCATAATCGCAGTTGTCGCTCTTGACTGTTCCTCCAACAACATACGCAATGTCAGAGACCGCGGCTGGGCAAACACCGACAGTTCGTATTTAATGAGAGAAAACGGATACACATGCATTAGTTTTGGTTGACTCCACTTGACGGCTTAGCAGAATGTTGTTCTGGATATTCTTTATTGTCGTCGGCTTAACCGGTAAGGTCTGACATTGCAGGGGAATATGTATTGTTTTAGTGGCCGAAGAAGATCCCGAGCTACGGGGTAACAAACTGGTCATGGTGACGGATCCAACAACACCAACCACTCCGACCACGCCTACTACTCCAACTACCCCAACAACTCCTACTACTCCGACGACACCGACTACTCCGACCACTCCGACAACGCCAACTACACCGACAACCCCTACTACCCCCACAACCCCCACTACGCCAACCACACCAACGACTCCCACCACGCCAACAACGCCTACAACTCCTACGACGCCGACAACTCCAACTACACCAACCACACCAACAACACCTACCACTCCCACTACCCCCACCACTCCTACAACTCCGACTACCCCTACAACACCAACTACCCCTACTACTCCGACGACACCGACCACTCCGACAACGCCAACTACACCGACAACGCCTACTACCCCAACAACGCCCACAACTCCGACTACACCGACCACACCGACGACTCCGACAACTCCTACCACTCCTACAACTCCGACTACACCTACTACACCAACCACACCGACAACTCCAACTACCCCAACAACGCCGACAACTCCGACGACACCCACAACTCCAACAACACCCACCACGCCTACTACCCCTACGACACCGACAACTCCGACTACACCAACAACACCTACCACCCCCACTACTCCCACTACCCCCACAACTCCAACAACCCCTACTACTCCTACAACCCCTACCACCCCAACAACTCCAACTACTCCTACAACTCCCACCACGCCTACAACCCCTACTACTCCAACCACTCCAACAACTCCATCACGTAAGTAAATTTCTCCTCGAAAGTGCATGAAAACCCGCCTCACGGCAACCAAGGGACTCTTCCGTCTCGTTTCGGCGCTTCGCCCGCCTAGTATCGGTCGAATTCAAACGAAATGTCAAGAGCAAATTTTCCGTGTGGTTTTCCGACCGAAAAATATTTTTCTCGGATGTATTTTATTTCTTTTGCCAATTTTGACACTTCGTTTGGACGAAATTCAAAAGTGGGCCGGAGACATTTTTCTTCCATTTTGGGTTGCCGTGCGCCTCTGCCTTTACCAAAAAGGACCGTTTATTTTCAGAAATGTGCGTCGACGGCGCTACAAACTGCGCTGACTTCAAGAGCCAATGCGGAACCCCAAAAATGCAGACATACTGTAAGAACACCTGTGGTCTCTGCGCCTCGAGTTCACCTAAACCTCAGCCAACCAAAGGTAACAGGAGAAATCTCTGACCTTTATATTGCTATTCTTTCTGCATACAAAAGCGAAAATGTTTTAGAATGCAATGACGGCGCGACCAACTGTGCCGATTTCATAAGTCAGTGTGGTACGCCCAAGATTCAGGAGTACTGTAAACATACTTGTGGACTCTGCGGGTCCAGCCCTGCACCCCCTGCACCGCCTTCCTCGAGTAAGTTCAAGCAAAAAAAAATTATTGTCGCTTTAGATTTCCGGTCAATATCAGGAAATAAAAATCGGGAAATTTTTTTGGTTCACCTGAATATTACAATGACGGACCTGATCCAGTGGCAAAAAACGAGCCATTTTGTATCCGGGAAGTCTCAAAAATGTGGCAAAATACCTCCCTCTCCAAGTTAAAAGACTCCAGTTTCAAGAACCACTCCTTTTTGTGAGAAAAAGGGCGGTCTTCAAAACGGAGTTTTTTAATTGCAGAGGGAGGCATTTTGCCACATTTTTGATACTTCGCTGATGCAAAATGAAAGTTTTTTAGCACTCCATTAGGTCCGCCGCCGTATACGTATATTTCAGTCAGATATTCCGACTTTTTCAGGCTGCGTCGACGGAGCCACCAACTGTGCCCAATTCAGCGGACAATGCGGAACACCAAAGATGAAGACCTTCTGCAAGAAGACATGCGGCGTATGCTAAGCTTGCTATTCTTTCAATTCAATTAATATATTTTTTCATCAATAAACTCTTTTGCAATCTCTAAGAAGTTACCGCCCGTCCCGATGGGGGATGCCCATCTATGCAGCCAAAGCATCGTTGACTCGAAGAGTCGTAGTGCCGAAATTACGGACAACTTTGATACATGTTTTATTCGAGTTTCACATTTTTTCCGTCAAATTTTTTCAGATTCTTTTTTGCGCCCATTTTATCAAATTTGACCCAACATGCGTGATTTAATGTAAGTCAAGGTTTCAAACCATATGTGCAAACAAAACCCCGCCGATTTTTTAAATGAAGTCTTGTTTCACAAGGAAAGTGCTTTTACGGGGGCTCCTACTTTTAGACCGGAAGTATCTCAAAAAATCCGGAAAATCGTGCTGAAGAATATGAAAAAAATAGCCACCCAATTTCGGGTTCAAATGTCGAAAATGCCCAAAAACTGGCTAAATTCCTAGACAAGGCAGGTCTAGAAAATAAACTTCCTTGCCAAAACCTATTCATTCCGTCTTATCACCTCAAAACATCAATTTCAGCTAAAACAAAATTTTTAAACCTGTGAAAAAGTGAGCGGAAAAGGTTTTACAGTGAAGGCCCTGATCCAGGTGCAAAAAAAGTATCATTTTGCATCCGGGAAGTATCAAAAATGTGGCAAAATGTTTCCCCCACCAAGGGAAAAACCTTCGTTTTGAAGGGCGCGCCTATTCCCTCACAAAAACAGCCTTTTTCACTTGGAGAGGGAAGCATTTTGCGACATTTTTGATACTTCCCGGATGCAAAATGGTACGTTTTTAGCCATTGGATCAGGTCCGTTACTGTAAAACCTTTTCCGCTCACTTTTTCACAGGTTTAAAAATTTTTTTTAGCTGAAATTGATGTTTTTGAGGTGATAAGAGGGAATGAATAGGTTTTGGCAAGGAAATTTATTTTCCAGACCTTCAGTTTGCCTAGAAATTTAGTTCTTGGTCATTTCCTACATTTAAACCCGAAATTGGGCAGCTAATTTTTACATATTCTTGATCTGCACGATTTCACGCATTTTTTTCAGATACTTCCGGTCTAAAAGTAAGAGTCCCCATAAAAGTACTTTCCTTGTGAAACAAGACTTCATTAAAAAAGCGGTGGGGTCTTGTTTGCACATATGGTTTGAAACCTTGATGCTTACATTAATTCACGGATTTGGGGTCAAAGTTTGATAAAACGGTCCTTCCGGCATCAAGGATTAAAAAATAAGCCAACATTCAAATATGGTAGCAGTATTCAAACAGCTAAGTACACCAACTTCCGACGGCTTCAATAGCAAATATTATAATTTATTAAGAACAAAAAACAACAAAGTTGGGGAATGATTATAACGTACTGTACAAAAAATCCACGTATTCGGGATTGCATCACAAATATTAGGTATGGAGAAAAAAATGAAAAAAAACCTTACCAAAACTTAAAATTTTTGAATAAACCGCTCAGAGCCTCGCCAATAACGTCATAAAATTGCTTGACAAAGTCCTTGAACGTCTTCATTGCCTCGAAAATGCTGTAAAAAACGGTGATATATTGTCCCGATGCTTTTTGCAGGGTCTTCAATTTGTATTCCTTCGCCACTTTCAGCATAACCGGGCTATAGCCTGGGCGCAGATTGAAGGTCAGGAAGTGGTCAATGTAGAGCTGAAAAAATCCAAAATAAGTCGTATTTTAGCCTCTTATTCTACTTTTTTGACAAGGAAATTACTTCTATGGGGTATGGAGTTACAGGGTCGAGAGATACATCAAAAAAATCGCAAAATTTTTCTGATTCAGAATATGTAAAAATTAGCTGCCTAATTTTGGTTTGTAATAGTCGCGGAAAAAAGTCCTGGGATTTTTCTGCGACTCTGCACTGTGCATGAACCCGAAAAGTGCTTTTGCACAGTGCAATTTTGTTGATTTTGCCTTATTGTCGCACGCGATTCCCGCGACAAATCAACTTTTCGGAGCGCGACGGAATTTGGGGGGCGCGAGAAAATCCCAGGACTTTTTTCCGCGACTAGTAATGGCGAAAAAATCTTCAGAACTTTTCTCGCAACACCACAAATGCCACTTTTTTATAATGCAACTACTAATTAAGGCGTAGTATAAATAAAATTTGATATTTTAAGGCTTAATTTGGTAAAAACTTGGTCAAAAAGCCATTTGCGTGAGCCTTAGAATATCAAATTTGATTAATACTACACCTTAATAGTAGTTCCAAAGTAAAAAATGGGCATTTGCATGGTGTTGCGAGAAAAGTTCTGAGGATTTTTTCACCCTTACAAAGCAAAATTAGGCAGCTAATTTTTACATATTCCGAATTAGAAAAATTTTGCAATTTTTTTGATACAGAGACGGACCCGATCCAGTGGCAAAAAACGTATCATGTTGAGTACGGGAAGCATAAAAAATGTGGCAAAATGCTTCCCTCTCCAAGTGAAAAAACTTCGTTTTGAAGGGCTCTCTTAAAAAAGAGCGGGCGCGCTTTTGAAATCGGAGTTTTTTCACTTGGAGAGGGAGGTATTTTGCCACATTTTTGATACTCCCCGGATGCAAAATGGTACTTTTTTGCCACTGGATCAGGTCCCCTATTGTATATGTCTTGGCCTGTAACTCCATACCCCATAGAAGTACTTTCCTTTTGAAAAAATATCAAAGACTGACCATAAGCTCTTCAATTTCCAAGAAATTCACCAAATGCAGAAACATCGGATCGATGTTCTCTTCCAGCGGCCATTTGTACTCGTACATGAACATCTTGATCGGAACAAACATGCTGTACTTGTACGTTCGCATGTCAATCACAACCATTCCATCAAACATTTCCTCGGCCTTCTCGCATTCTCGGCGGAAATATTCGCTGTGTTTGCAGATCACCGCTTGATCGAACTGAAAATCAGACCAACATCAATTTTATCACGAGGAAATTACTTCCATGGGGTATGAAATTCCAGGTAGAAACATACAATGGGGGGCCTGATCCAGTGGCAAAAAACGTACCATTTTGCATCCCGGAAGTATCAAAAATGTGGCAAAATGCTTCCCTCTCCAAGTGAAAAAAAACTTCGTTTTGAATCGCTCCCTCACAAAAAGAGCAGGCATGCTTTTGAAATCTGAGATTTTTTCTCTTGGAGAGGGAAGCATTTTGCCACATTTTTCGTACTTCCCGGATGCAAAATGATACGTTTTTTGCCACTGGATCGGGTCCTTCACTGTATATCAAAAAATCGCAAAATTTTTCTGATTCAAAATATGTAAAAATTAGCTGACCAATTTTGGTTTGTAAGGGCGAAAAAAACCTCAGAACTGTTCTCGCAACACCACGCAAATTCCTTTTTGACCAAGTGTTTACCAATTCAAAAGTTTTGTTGAGTGCTAAAGCAACCCTAATATCTTGACAAGCCTTAAAATATCAAATTTGATTCGTACTACACCTTAATAATAGTTTCAGTATAAAAATGGCCCTTTTTTATCTTGGAACAACTGATTAAGTGTAGCATTAATCAAATTTGATATTTTAAGGCTTGCCAAGATGCCAGGGTTTACACCAGCTCCAAACAAAGCTTTTGAATTGGTAAAAACTTGGTTAAAAAGGGATTTGCGTGGTATTGTGAGAAAAGTTCTGAGGGGTTTATTCGACCTTACAGACCAAAATTAGGCAGCTAATTTTTACATATTCTGAATCAGCAAAATTTTGCGATTGTTTTGATACATTTCTTGACCTGTAACTCCATACCCCATAGAAGTAGTTTCCTTGTCAAAAAAATCAAAAAATTTTGACATTTTTACATATTACTTTAGACAAAAATTATATAAAACTCTCCAAATTGAGAGTCATTTAATCCCCTTACCTCTTCCGGACCTGTTTTGAAGATCAGTAGGACGTCATGATTCCCCTTCTTTTTGTAGGAGTTCCATTCTTTTTCTTCGAACGTCTTTTTTGGTTCTCCTTGAAAATCGTCTCTTTGTTGCTCGTTTTTGGACTCATTTTCGTCGTCTTTCTTAGCCTCTGGATTCATTTCGTCCTCCTCTTTCTTTTCCTCGTCATCCTTTTTCGTTTCTCCGTCTTCTGAAGAGTCTTCCGACTCCTTATCCTCTTCGGACTCTCTGAAATACAGAACATGGAAAAAATCGATAAAAAAAGACGAATCCAAAAAAAAAATTCCTCAAAAGGGTTTCTCATACAAAATAAATGTAATTGACATCAATTCGAACAACAGGTATGAGCGAATTCCCACATTCGATCATCTTTTTATATTACACTTCGCCTAAAACCCAAAAATTCCGAATAAAACCCACTTTTCATCGTCCTCTGTCTTCTGACTCTCTTCTCCAAGTCCCTCATCATCATCCTCCTCGTCTTCTTCCTCTTTTCCGACTTCAACTTCTTCCACATCGGGATCTTTTTCGTCCTCTTCCTCCTCTTCCATAAACATCTTTTGTTTTTGCTCCTCCTTCTTTCTGCGCAACGAATCCAGCTCCTCTTCGGTCCGCTGAGCTTCCTCGAAGACCTTGTCCTTCTCCGAATGCTCTGGCTTCAGGTTCTCATCGAAATACACGGTGCGGCGAACAAAACGTCGAGCGTAACATACGATGGTTAGTGGGTCATTCTCCAACAATTTCAGAAGCTCAGAACGTCGGAAAAATTTCTTTCGGCCATACACGAGTCCCACTTGCGCTTGGTCTAAAAGTAGCACGCACGTAACCAATTTTAGGCATCAATTTATATTATCCATAACGCATCAAATTTTAGTCCCTAAAATCGCAAGAAAGAAACCAAAAACTGCTTCAGAAGCTCACACTTACTTTCATAGTCCTTAACATTCACCAACGGACGTCGGCTTGCCAGTGCAATTGGACCTTTACTGTTGCTGAACTCCAATTTCCATCCAAGAAATTCGTTGAACCCAGCATCCTTATAGAGATAAATATCTCCATCACGGTCTATGACCTTACCACAATTCTCGGTAGAAGACACCAAAATTGAGACAAATTCCTCCGAGTTTTCGTCAAAACCATTTGGATACACCTTTACCGTGAAACCGGCATCTTTGACTCCATTTGGCCCAAATTGTGGACTGCAAATTACTTCGTTTCCTTCAACATCCAATGATGACCGATCCAGCTTCCACACCAAGTGCCCAAAATCCTGAAAACACTTGATTTTTCGATAATTTTGGGGAAACCCAAAAGAGGTACCTAAAACAAGGCAATATCAAAATTTTGGCCGAATTGCGAGTTTTTTGAACTCGAAAAAGTCAGTATCAATTTAATCAAACTTTTCTACAGCTGCTCCAGCAAAATTGGGCAAATCACTTCCGTTTCCACCATAAAATCGATAAAAACAATAAGGAAACACTTACGGTTTTGTGCGGAACAAGATAATCGTATCTGTTTCCCTGATTTTCAGTTGATGGGAGTGCATACATTATCGAGACAAACAACTTTCACATCGACTTGTTGGTCACAGCTTCCGGCAAGCGAAACGCGACCGAAGAGCAAGAGTTGACTCTAAAACCGATCGATTTTGGGTCAAGTCTTTCCTTCTTGCCAAAAGCATGGCTTTAGCCCAAAAATCGATAAAAATAGGGCTTGATTTGACAGGATACGGTGGAAATTGCTTTTCAAATTTATGTTTTAGCTGAAAAATATTGCTTGAACTTCCATATTCGCTTCATTTTGTCATATCTCATATTTTTGCGCTAAAATTGTGAGTTTTCGGTCCTAAATTTTGCATTCGTGAGCCATTTTGCCGTATAAAAACGCAATTTACATTGGTTTCTGCTCTTGCTTGTGATCTACCTCCAAATTTCGGTGGGAGATTTGTCAAAAAGTCCCCTTTTTTATTTGTTTTTTTTTGCGAACCTTGGGGGTTTTGAAGGCAGCTGGAGGCGCCGCCGGGAGATCGCGTTCTGAATGTATATTCCACGGCGGTAACTGGGTCATACCGCGTCGGGGGCGAAAGTTCGAAGTCAAGAGAGAAATTTTCGGCGTTGGGAAGGGCGAAATTTTTTTCGCGGGGTGGACTTTGCCTCCGGCGGTCGATGAAAGTGAATCTGCCGACGGCTTGTTTTTTGACGTTGATCGCCGATGGCGGAAAAGCGACATTTTACATGTTTTTGCGGGTTTCTGTTGTTTGGGGAGTGGGTGGAAAGGTTGGGTGCGGCGAACGGCTGCGAAGTTTTCGATTCTTGGGCGATTTTATACAATTTCTCGTGGATTTTGTGGCTTGGGAAGGTGCTATTCGTACAAGGGTAGGGTAATAGGGGCTGTATTTTCATAAAGTGCATGGACATTCGCCACGAGCACAAAAAATCGCACATTTTGTCGTTGGGGTGGAAAAAATCATTGGAATGAATTTAAAAATTTTGAAAGGTCAGTTCGGTAAATTTCGATTTCAAAATCTCGATTTCCTCTGCAAAACGCGAGAAAAACACCCGGAATACGGCTTAAAAATCTTAACCATAATCTTTGCTGTGTTTCATCGGAATCTCAGCCTCACTTTATCGGTTCATTTGCGACAATTTCGTATCAATTTTGCCTTTTCATTTGGTCAAAAATAACAAAGATTCAGCATGATAAAGATTTATGACCACATTTTCAGCACTTCCTCTTGCTAGCCCGCTCACAAAGTCGTTGGGGTGATTTTAGCGACATGCACTGTGCGAAAACAAAATCTTACTTCGCACTGTGCAATTTCTGGCTTTTTGCACTGTGCAATACGCTTTTTCCTTTCACAAAAATCCCCGATTTTTCGCACCGTGCATTCACATTTTTTTTTGAGTTTGCACTGTGCATTTGAAATATCGCTGCGACGTAGACTTTTCTCAACTCCGCCGTCGCGGTTTTGCTCAAGAATTTGCACAGTGCAAACAATTTTTTTTTATGGGGTTCGCACGGTGCACAAAGAAAAAATGCACTGTGCGTTGGAAACAAAAATTCAAGATGCACTGTGCGAAACGAAAAAAGACAGTTTTTCGCGTTCGCACAGTGCATTTTGAATTTTTTTCTCACGCTTGTCGCCAACGCACAGTGCATTTTTTCTTTGCGCACCGTGCAAACCTCAAAAAGGTTGTTTGCACTGTGCAAATTCTTCAGTGAAACCGCGGCAGCGCAGCTGACAAAAGCTCAAGTCGCAGCGATATTTCGAATGCACAGTGCAAGCCCAAAAGAAGGTGAATGCACGGTGCAAAAAATCGGGGATTTTTGTGAAAGGGAAAAGCGTATTGCACGGTGCAAAAAGCAGGAAATTGCACAGTGCAAAGTAAAGTTTTGTTTTTGCACAGTGCATGTCCCTGAAATCACTCAAGCGACTTTGTGAGTGGACAAGGAAGGGGAAGTGCCGAAAATGTGGTCATAAATCTTTATCATACTGAATCTTTGTTATTTTTGACCACATGAAAAGGCAAAATTGATACGAAATTGTCGCAAATCAGTCGATCAAGTGAGGCTTAGATTCCCGTTGAAACACAGCAAAGATTATGGTTAAGATTTTGAACCCGTATTCCGGGTGTTTTTCTCGCGGTTTGCAGAGGAGATCGAGATTTTGAAATCGAAATTTACCGAAAAATTGATTTCTCAAAATTTTTAAATTCATTCCAATGATTTTTTCCACCCCAACGACAAAATGGGATTTTTGTGCTCGTGGAAAATGTCCATGCACTTTATGAAAATACAGTCCCTATTTATTTTACCCTTGTACGAATAGCACCTTCTCAAGCCACAAAATCCACGAGAAATTGTATGCCAAGAATTTGCATTTTTTTTCAAAATTTTGAAATATTTTCCCACTGATTTTTGTTGTCATCAACAGATTCAGTAAATATTGTTTTTATTTTTTTTGTCAATGCAAACTTTACGCTATGACCTTTTGATGTTCTGATGAGATTCCCGTTACGATTACGATCCCCAGAATCAACAGAAAGCAGCTTACCTGTTATGGGAGGGGTTGGGAAAAACATGTGGGCTGCTGCTAATGAGTCCAGCGTTGAAAAACAAAGACAATAAACAGTTTAAATAGACCTTGTTCGATGGGGTTTTTCGAATTTTAAAGTCCATCTTCGCCGAAATGGCATTGAAAATTTACTTTATTATTATAAAAAGGTGTTTGAGGTCCGAAAATTTTATCTGTTTTTTTCAGTTTTGTTGATCATTAAAACAATTTTTACCTCGCTTGTTTTGAAGCAAGATGGATCTGTTTCTTTGTGTCACAAGCTCCAATGCGTTGAGTTTTTTGCTGCAATTGATCTTGTCAAAGTTTGGGGGCGGCTAAAAATACCAGTTCTTTTTTAATGCTGACGATTAGGTTTAAAAAAGCAACATAAATCAGTGTAATATATGAGTGTAATAGTTTCTAGTACTTTGTGGAGCACGATGGGAATGTAAAGATGGGCTAGGATAATTCAAAATCCGAGCCTAATTGGCCAAAAAACAGGTGTAGGTTCATTTAAACGGCAAAAAATTTCTTTAGCCTATATCAGCCGGTCGACGACGGCTGGACTTTTTTCCTGCTCTATGAGGTTTTATCGCACGCTATTTCAAATGCTATTGAAATGTATCCGATGTCATGTAGCGATGTATTTTTTCCCGACGCCAATATAAAAAGTCTGAACTATTGGTCGGCCGATAGTTCAGAGAAAAAGCGAGTTCGACTTCTTTCAAAATGACACCGCTCCTTCCCAAATAAGCTTCTGCAAAGCGCTGGCTAAAAATATTGGCCCTGAAAATTACAGTGGGGACATGATCCAGTGGCAAGAAACGTACCACTTTGCGTCCAGGAAGTATCAAAAAATGTGGCAAAATGCCTCCAAGTGAAAAACTCCGTTTTGAAGGGCGCGCCCGCGGTTTTTGCGAGGGAGCCCTTCAAAACGGTGTTTTTTAGTTGGAGAGGGAAGCATTTTGCCATTTTTGTATACTTCCCGGATGCAAAATGTTACGTTTTTTGTCACTGGATCAGGTCCCCCCACTGTAGTCATCATTTATTAAAATACTTTTCAACCGCTTGTTTCAAATTGCGGTGTTATCAGTCTGTCGCAACTTGACTTTTTCTGCACAGTACAAGCAGCAATAATTACTCCAGCGCAAACTGACTTGTACTGTAATCCCTTGTGAATTCCGACCTATTATTTGGTCACGTTTGTAACCTCTCCCGCTCTTTTCACTAAACCTCATCGATCCCCTGTGCCCGAAAGACTTTGGTTTATGACTGACCAAACTCCCCTCCAACCTCGCGTTTCCACCGCCCTTCGGCGATGAAACAAGCCCGATCCCAATAAAACCTCTTCCTCTTGACATCCTTAATTGGATTTGAGGGACGGATTCGAAGTGGGCGAGGGTTATTCTTATTCCGAATTAAAACTTTTTTTAGTGCGTCTTCAGACGTTTCCCATTTTGAGGTCAACAGGTTAGGAGGTTTATTCGTTTTTCGACAGAAAATTTTGTTTCAGATCATCTTGTGGTAGGATGCATTGCGAAGAAAATAATTAGGGAGTTTGTTTTTGAGGGGGCTGAGTATGTTTGTAGGGGAAGTACCCGAAGTGCGACACTCAGATTTTGATAAAACTTGGCACAAGTTTAGAGTAGTTTTTTCTAAGACATGCGAGAATCCTAGCTCGCGCTTTGCAGAGACTACCGAGGTTTCGTTAGACCAAAAGTTGGGAAAAATTTATCTCTTTTTTGCGAATTTTGACATGAAAAGTTTCACGGATACTTCCCTTGTAAGTTGTGGATGGCAAATTCTCTAACATAAGTCAGGTAGTATTTTCATGAGAATTTTCGGGGCTAAGGTAGTACAGCCCCCCCCCCCCAGTCCAGTTTAGCCCCCATAACCCAGTACAGCCCCCCTCGTCCATTCTGAACCCCAAAATTTATTTCAAAGAATTAATCCAAGTTGTAGTATGGTCCAGCACAAGCCCCCTACGTTTTAGATGAAGCCCCCAACGTTTTAGATCAAGCCCCTTACGTTTTAGATCAAGCCCCTTCGTTTTAGAAAAAGCCCCCTAAGTTTTAGGTCAACCCCCCTACGTTTTAGATCAAACCCCCACTTACATTTTTTGTATTATTCTAATTTGTTCATTATGTGGGGTGTGAAACGGGCAAAAACAGTGGGGGTTAGACTACCTTTCGTGGGGGGGCTGAACTACCGAAGCCCCGAATTTTCTCAGATTTTGATTAGAATTTGCTGACGAAGGGATGGCTTGAAATACCTCCTCTATATTTGCGTGAAAATTATCTCAAGTCAGAGTAATTTTATCAAGGTAAAAAAGGCTTTAGGATGGGCGAAATTTGACTTCTCTTTTCGAGTTTAGCCATGAAGCATATCAGTTGTATTGCTACGACAGAGGGCAACAGTTCCACATAAAACTCATTTTTTACTGCCAAGAATTGGCAATATTGCCCAAGAGTGTTTTTCTCTCCTAGCGCTCTCTAGATTTTGCATACTCTCTGGTCAAGAAAGACCGTTCAATATTTGGCCCGTTTCTGCAAAGTGCCATCTAATATTTTGAGGGTTTGATGCGTGTGTAATGCACGACACATGTGCAAAATTTAGGTAAAATCTGAATGGCGAATTTGGCAGATTTTGATGACGATTGGAAAACATCTGGTTTGACTACAGAGGCACACTAATTACCCCAAGTTCCACGCTCAGCTTTTCCCTAAACTTTGCACACGCGTTGAAGATAGTCCACATATCAATCACTGAAAATTTTAGCTCTGGCTTTGCATGCGCAGCTGAGATATTGAACGATTTTTGCCTCCGAGAGAGTACGCGAAATGCGGAGAGGGGTCAGAGAGAAAAACGGTTTTTCGCCCTATCTATGCCAGTTTCGTGCGGAAAAAAGTTTATTTTTAGTGGTAACATTACTCTCTACGGTAGAAATAGGTATGCAATTTGTCATGTCAAAATTCGCAAAGAACTGTCACATTTTTGCCAACTTTCGATCTAAAAATTCGGTCGTTTCTGCAAGGCGCGAGCTTGAAGTCGCATATTTGTTTTTGAAGGGCATATTTCCTCGCAAAAATTAGATAATGTTTGAAAGTGTCATCAAAATCTGAGCGTCGCAAGCGTTTGCCCTACATTTACTTCCGCAGTAAATGTAGAGCAAAACGCTTGACAAAGCGTGTATTTTTGGCATGCCTCCTTTTCTAATCTCTTTCTAATTTTTACGACGAGAGATGAAGATGAGTTGCTTAATCCATCTAATCAAGTTTTGTGTTGGGGGTGATAAATCCCGTCGTGTAGGAACATCATTTGTTTTCCAGTTTGCGAAGGCGGCTTTGACTGATCTTTGGCGGTTATTTTTGGGGCTTTTGAAACGACTACTGTAGCTTTATTGCTGGGCTTTGTTCGATGATTATTGGGGGCTACGAGTTTTCGAGTGAACTACAGTTCGGGTCGACGATACTTTGGGGTGCCTCAATTCGTCGTTGTATGCATGGGGGAAGCTTGGAGAAGGCTTAGTTATTAGAAATAATTACAGCGGGGGACCTGATCCAGTTGCAAAAAACGTGCTATTTTGCATCCGGGAAGTATCAAAAATGTGGCAAAATGCTTCCCTCTCCAAGCGAAAAAAAACTTCGTTTTTAATGGCTCCCTCACAAAAAGAGCGGGCGCGCTTTTGAAATCGGAGTTTTTTCACTTGGCGAAGGAGGTATTTTGCCACATTTTTTGATGCTTCCTGGATGCAAAATGGTACATTTTTTGCCCATGGATCACGTCCCCCACTTAGATTGATCAGGTCGTAGAATAGGTTGTCACATATTTTGAGGTATTTTACAAGCACTCACATCAATAATATCATGGGTTAAAATGACGGATCTTCGTTTTTCCCGCAAATTTTGGTGTTTTACACATATGTTACAATAACTCAGGATTAAGAAAACTAGGATTGGGAATAGCTGAGATCAGCGAAAGTGGGCATATTGTAAGTCTCCGCCGAGCCTTCGCCGAACGTCCGCCGACCATCCAACGGCTTTTCCAGGCCTCGTAGGACATTTGTACCACTTTTTTTGTCTCTCCTAGGCCTCGTATCTATCGATTTTGCACTCACCCGAACTGTAGTCGACCCGAAAAGTCGGGACGCACATCATTCTGCTTTTTTTTAATTTTGTGCAAAGCTTTTTGACTTCATAAAGAAATTTCTGTCGAAATCATTCGTAAATTTCACAAATTTGTATGCTGGATTTTTGAAACACTTCCGGAAACAGAAAAACATCCCCTTTGCACCCAAAATGTTGCCTAGAGACATGCTCAGCGCCGAAATTTTCCACAAATTTTTTTATGAGCCTGGCACATGTTTTTTTGCGGGGGATGAAATACAAATTTCATTGATGCGATTTTAAGAACATCAGACTGCGTTGCTTCGGATGTCTAGGATTTTTTTTTGTTTTGAAATATTTACTATGACTCTGTCGGGAAAATAATGAGCATTGTGTCGCTGAAGTGAAAAGCAATTTGATTTTGTCGCGACACCATTCATTTTCTCGGCGGCGATGCCATTTTTGATGCGAAAGAGTGCTCATTATTTTCCCGACAGACTAATACTAGTCGTTCCAGAAAGTGCACAGATTTTTGTCGTTGGCCGCATCGTGCACAAAACCCTTTTTGCGGCATGCATTTGAGATTATGCATCGTCGTGCAAGTCTAATATCATTGCGACACAAGCTTTTCGCAACGGAATCGGCGCGAATTTTGAGCGCGCAAAGAGAAGTTGCACAGCGCGAAAAGTTTCGAAAAGCATCGCGTAAGAGGGAACAGGCAAGTTACTACACTGTGCGGTGCGAAAAAGGCCGAAAAAAATCTACGCACTTTCTGGAACGGCTAGTAGAACCTTAGCAAACTTGTGCCGAGGCTTATCAACTCCTCTCTATGGGATCTACAGTGGTGGACCTGATCCAGTGGCAAGAAAACGTACCATTTTGCATCCGGGAAGCTTTAAAAATGTGGCAAAATGCTTCCCACTCCAAGTGAACAAACTTCGTTTTGAAGGGCGCGTCTTCTCTTTTTGTGAGGGAAGGTGGAGTCCGTACTGGAAGACCGCTCTTATAAAAACGTGATCGAACAGAAGCGGTCAAAGTAAGGCGCTGAATACAGTGGCGGACCTTATCCAGTGCCAGAAAACGTGCCATTTTGCATCCGGGAAGTATCAAAAATGTAGCAAAACACCTCCCTCTTCAAGTAAAAAAGACCGATTTTTAAAACGCGCCCGTTTATTTTGTGAGAGAGCCCTTCAAAACGGAGTTTTTTCACTTGGAGAGGGAAGCATTTTACCACAGTTTTAAAACTCCCGAATGCAAAATGGTACGTTTTTTGCCACTGAATCAGGTCCCCACTGTAATTATTTCTAATAACTAAGCCTTCTCCAAGCCTCTTTCCCTCATAAAAAGAGCGGGCGCGCTTTTGAAATCGGAGTTTTTTCACTTGGAATAGGAAGCATTTTGCCACATTTTTAATACTTCCCGGAAGCAAAATGGTACGTTTTTTGCCACTGGATCATGTCCCCCACTGTAAATTATTTCCTTTTCAAATTTCGCCTGTCTTCCACCCTCGCCTTATCATCCCTCTCGGCTCAAGCTTTATGTTGCAAATCCCTCCAAAATTATGCAAATCGCGCATTACAGAACACAAATCCCTTCATATTTGTTGGTTTCGAATCGAGTGGTGTGGGAGAGAAAAGAGATCAACCGAATGGTCATCTGAAGGCGATCGGATTCAGGAAGCGGCGAGGAGCGGTGGGGGGAAGGAAGGAAGAGCCTTCGGATCTGGTTTTGCCTCGGCTTTTCTCCCATTTTTTGTGGTCGCGCCACCGCTTTCATAAAGCCCCCTTCTCGTTCGTCGCAATGCCGAAAAACCTGACCGCAGCGCCAAGGTTTCGTCAAAATAAGATGTAATACTTTGGAGGGGGCGAGAGCTGGATTGCGTTGCGGAGTTGCGCCGAGAGGCTTCAAGGAGTTTTTTTTTGATCTTTAATTTCGGGCAAACGTAGGGACAAGATGACATAGAGGGTGTTGTGACATGCATAGAGGGTGGAGATGATGATGGGTTGAAGACTGGTTACGTGAGGATGACAAGTCGCAAATGGCGATCATTTTCGTGGGGTTTATTGGTCAGTGGGTTTCGTAACTCTTCCAGGAGTTTTATTTTGAAGTGAAGTACTCGTGTAGACGTTCTTTTTAAACGTATTTTGACTTGACTTGCAAGGGAACGACCCCAAGTACAACGCTCAGATTTTCTTTAAATTTTACACACATGTAATGCATAGGCCGCACATCAATTCCTGAAAGTTTTAACTCGCGCTTTGCAGGCGTAGTCAAGTATTGAACGATTTTTTGGCCGGGAGAGTACGGGAAATGCGGAGAGCGGTCACAGAGAAGACCCCTTTTGGCCATATCTTTGCCAGTTCTGCCCAGAAAAAATTGTTTTTTTGTGAAAATATTACTCTATACGGTAGAAAGATTATCAGTTGATTAGTGACCTATGTAGACCAAAGGCTCAAAATTTAAAGAAAATATGAGCGTCACACCTCGTGTACGTGAGAGATGGATAAAAATTGTTTCTGTAGAATCCCCCGGACCTTTCGCGACCCAAAATTTTCTTTTGAATGGGATCTTCGACCAGCTTGGAGACAGTTTTCGCGTTCCCGATGATCTCTACAAAGGAAACAGTTTCTTTTCATTCATAAAGTTTTGAATTTTCGATATTTTTTCCGTCAACTCGTGATCAATACTTATACAGTGACGAACCCGATACAATGGCAAAAAACATACCATTTTGCATCCGGAAAGCATGAAAAATGTGGCAAAATACCTCCCTCTTCAAGTGAAAAAACTTCGTTTTGAAGGGCGCGCTTTTGAAATCGGAGTTTTTTCACTTGGAGAGGGAGGCATTTTGCCACATTTTTGATACTTCCCGCTCACCATGTGAAAAAAAACTTCATTTTGAAGGGCTCCTTCACAAAAAGAGACATGTTTGATACTCCCCGGATGCAAAATGGTACTTTTTTTGCGACTGGAACAGGTCCCCAACTATACTTATACTGTACGTAAACTGATCTCTGCCTCAATCTCAACTTAATACTTTTTTTTAAACTTCTTTGATCAAGTCCGCCACAGCTAATCAATTGTCGTCGCGGTTCCGAAAAGACCACTCCTTCCGCTGTAGTTTTACACAAAAGCCGACAAAGCCGGAAAATTACAACTAATTCTGTCCGAATTTCCGTACAAGTGAGAGTTTACAAAAAAAAAACATTTAATTACGTGAGTCATCAATTCGCTCTGACATTTACTCGTCCTCCGTCGATCTTCAAATTGGCTGGAATTGTGGTCGAATTGAAAGAACGGGGAGTGAAAAGTAACGAAAAAAACAAAACGGATACATTTGAAGGAGTAGCGGAGATCTACAGTTTTGATTCCTTCAGAATTAAGTCATGGCGTAAAGCATTCAGAATGTTTTGGTTTACCGTAAATGCTTGTATAGGAGCATTTACCTGAAGACAATGTAAGTCTCGATGTCTGAGCACAGCTCTGTGAGAGGCTTGTTCTGATTTTCTTAGGTTTTCCAACAAATAATGACCCTCTGAGAGAGGGGCAAAGTTTAAAGTCTCTAAAAAAGGCAATCGATGATGGAATTTCGAAATATTATACCATTTTGTAGCTGAGATCTCAGGCTTTCGTTTGATGTATCGTTTGCCATATTGGGACCAAATTACAGTAATTTAGCCCTAATCTAAAATTATCTAAGGTTCCAAGACGCCCTTGAAAAGGCCTTCAAAAGTTTCATCGGCTCCAGAAGCCGGGGTTCCTAAGCTACAGACATAAAAAAGCTTTTGGCACATTGTAACGAGCGTGATAAAGCACATGATAATTATTTTGATTAAATAGATCGCAGTTATTACGGTAAATTTTGCCGAAAAAATAAATTTTTCGAAGAGGGTCATTATTTGTTGGACAACCTAATACAAGGGAAGTACCCCAAGTGCGACCCTCAGATTCTGATGAAGCTTGGCACAAATTTAGAATAGTTTTTTCTAAAATGTATGCGAGAATCCTAGCTCGTGCTTTGCAGAAACAACCGAGATTTTTAGATCGAAAGTTGGCGAAAATTTGACACTTTTTTCCGACTTTCGGCACGAAAAGTTTCATACCTATTACTACCGTGAAGGGTAACGTTTCGACAAAAAATCAATTTTTTCCGCACAAAAATAGCAAAGTTATGGCCAAAAAGTGTTTTTTCTCTCTAACCGCTCTCCGCGCTTAGCGAACTCTTACGGCCGCAAAGATCGCTGAATATCTCGGCTGCGCCTTCAAAGCGCGAGCTAAAACTTTGAGGAATTGACACTTAATTTATGACTGACGTGTGTCCAAAATCTAAAGAAAATCTGAGCGTCGCACTTGGGGTACTTCCCTTGTTAGTGCTTTCCTAGAGAGCCATCGGATTTTCAGGTCCTTCCAAGTGTGACGCTCATATTTTCTTCAAATTTTGCACCCACGATGAATTAAGTTTCAGTTCATGATTTTTTAGCCCACGTTTTGCCGGGAGAGCTAGGTCGCGTACTCTCCGCCGAGAGAGTACGCGAAACGTGGAGAGCGGTCAGAGAGATACCCACTTTTCGGCCGGATCTTTGCAGGTTTTGCGCGGAAAAAAATAATTTTTTGTGGAAACATTACCCTCTAGGGTAGAAAAAGGTGTGAAATTTTTCATGACAAAATTCGCCAAATAGCATAACATTTGTGACATCATTCAACCTAAAGAATCCCGGTTGTTTATGCATAGCGCGAAATAGAATTTGGTGTCTATGTTAGGAAGGATTAATTTTGAATTTTTTCATATTAATAAAAATCTCTTTGTCTACAGCACCAATGACGACAGAAATAATTGTAGTGACATTTTCAACGATAAGACCCGTTTTTTAAGCTGAAATTAATCACCAGTGCTGCAGATTTCCTAATCCTTTGTGGCTCACAAAACCTCGGCTATTACTCAAACAGCTCTGACTAATCTTTCGAAACGCATTTCATTTCTTTGGAGCTAACAACAACCCGGTAATTCACCTGAATCTCCATGGGATTTGTTCCAAAGAAAATGCCGTCAGTTGAAAAATGAAAACCATCTTTTCGCGAGACCTCAACTATGCATTGCGGATTGTATATCTACAATTTCCCGAGCTCTTCTTTACTATTTTTTGTACAATTTTATATCTTTATTATTTCGTTACAGAGAATACAGTAATTTCCCAAAGGTTTGACAAATTGCAGGCCTGTGGTTTGCGCCGTTGTACGGCACCGAAACAAGTTTGCGTAATCAGGAATACAACAGACAGGAGAAGGAAGTAAGGAAATGCATATTTTTTAGGATATTGCCAGAGGCAATGGAAGTTAGGGAGAGTAGAAGAAATACTTTTGTAGCTAGAGCTTCCAAGGAAACGTTTCAATTGCAAAGTTAACGCAGTTGATATGTGGCTAACAAATCCAGAATATTTTGGCCAGAACTCTGTAGGTGTAGATATTCAACGATTTTCCAGCTAAAAGACCATGGAAAATGATGAGAAATCCCACAGAAAAGTGCTTTTTGGCAATACATGGTGCTCTTATATTGCCAAAAATTTCAAACTTACTTCATTTTTGGCCTACATGAAATTTTGTGGCCTACTTCAAAATGTCGTCTGCCTACGTGAAAAAATTTCATGTGGGCCAAAAAAAATTTATTTTTGCATACAGGAAAAAAAACCACCTATGCCAAAAAAATAATTTTTTTTTGCCTAGGTTAAAAAAACAAAAATTTCATGTAGGCCAAAAATGAAGTAAGTTTGAAGCTTTTTGGAATAATATAAGGCACCTCTTTTATTTTTTTTTAATTTTTTTATTGGAAAGGTGTGCTCCAGGCATCAAAAAAGACCGAGTTTTTGATGGAAATTTTCGAATTTTCTGAAATTTTCGGCCTAAAAATCTTGAAAAGCGCCAGCGAAAAACCTCATTTATCTCCTAAAAAGTTCCAGTAAATTTTCTAAATTAAAAATTTTTAATAATTTCAAAGTTTCAAAATTCATTTTTTGCAAACTTTGATCTTTAAAATTCTCTTCGAAAACTCAAGGACAGAAAGAATAACCTCTCTCCCCCCGATTACCTAACCTCCACCGAGTTTTCAGCCCGCAAGTCTTTGGAACGGCTGTTTTCGTTGAAAGCGCAAGCTCCGCCCCCCTTGGAACGTCCTCCAAACACGAGAAGAGCGGCGAAGATGCAGCTGAATTGGGAGCAACTTTTCAGCATCCTCTTGGCGGGCTGCCTGATCGTCGAAGCCTTCGGTTACGAGGCGTTGGCCGTCGCCGCAATGTGCGTCTGGATTTGGGCCCGTTACGGGGACTTTCTGCACAGATCCTACATCACTTTGGACCGGGACCTGAGGTGCGACATTTAAAAAAATTTTTTTTTTTTTTTTTTTTTTTTTGGAAATTTGGCCTAAATTAATTGCAAAAAACAAAAAAATCATGTCAGGGCTCAAAAAAAAATTTTTTGTTTTTCACAATTACTATTACTTCGGTTGTTATGGCGAAAATTTTGTAAAATCAAAAGTTTTGCAGTCTGTCGGGAAAATAATGAGCATAATTCCGATGCGTCATTATTATCATTTCCCGTCGCTGAAGTGAAAAGCAAGTTGATTTTGTCGCATCACAATTAATTTTCGCCGCGATTCGACAGACTGTTCATTATTTTCCCGACAGAAAATCGGTCAATTTTTAACCTTTATTCCTCACGTTTTATCACTCAAAAAAACCCCGATGATTTTTGGCGCCTTCGAAAGGCCTATTGGACCGTCCAACCATAGCTCAGTTGGTAGAGCGGAGGACTGTAGTTCAGCGGAAATCCTTAGGTCGCTGGTTCGAATCCGGCTGGTTGGAATTTCTTTTTTATTTTTTTTTTTTTTTTAGCTTTTTGGATATCACAAATCATCTTTTTTGTTTTCTAAGCAATTGCTATGCCCTTGGAATCTTAATTTTTGGACTTTTATAGGCTTTTTTGGCTCAAATTATGCGAAAAATAGGATAACATGACTAATATTGTCTTTTTTCAGCGGTCTAAAGCTCCTTCTGGATGTCAAATCAGATTTGTTCCGACAGAGTAAACGGAACCGTCCACTGCATGAGATTTTCCTCGACATTTGCCGCAAACATCCGCAAAAATCGGCAATAATCGAAGTCAACACGGAGCGACAAGTGACGTTCGAGGAGCTGAATCTGTTGGCCAATCGTTATGCCAATTATTTTCAGGTAAATTTTGAAATTTTTAGGCTATTTTACTTTTGAAAAAGCTACTATGTCAACTCTAATATCCCATTTCAGCGATTAGGCTACAAAAAAGGCGATCCGATCGCGCTTTTTATGGAAAATTCGATTGATTTCGTCGCCGCATGGCTTGGTTTGTCCAAGATTGGAGTGGTGACGGCGTGGATCAACTCGTCGTTGAAGTCCGAGCAGCTGGCGCACTGCATTCAAACTTCCAAAACGAATGCAGTGATCTGCTCGAAAAGCTTGGCTAAAGGTAAGCGCATTCTAAGATCAAAAAAGCTTTTAAAAATGCGAATATCGAAGAAAATTTCGTGCAGAAGACGCTTCTGTTTATCTCTGTAGGAATAAATCTGATTTGACATCCAAAAAAAGCTTTTGACCGCTGGAAAAAAGACAATATTAGTAATTTTACCCTTCTTTTCGACTAATTTGAGAGAAAAAAAAGACCATAAAAGTCCAAAAACTAAGATGCCAAAGACATAGCAATTGCTTAGCAAACAAAAAAACATGATTTACATTATCAAAAAAGTGATAAAAAAGAAATTCCAACCAGCCGGATTCGAACCAGCGACCTAAGGATTTCCGCTGAACTACAGTCCTCCGCTCTACCAACTGAGCTATGGTTGGATGGTCCAATAGGATTTTAGAAGGCGCCAAAAATCATCGGGGGTTTTTTTGGTGATAAAAAGTGAGGAATAAAGGATAAAAAATTGAGCGATTTTTTCTTGGATTTTTTTTTCAGTCTTCGAATTTTTTTTTGTCGTAACAGTTTTTCCAAACAATTCATGAAACCAAGTTTTGGCAGAATTTTTAGAAATTCGTTATCAAAATTAAAGCCCTCAAATTCATTTACTAGGCCTTCTTGAAAGTCGTCGGAGTGATTTTTAACGTTTGCACAGTGCAAGAAAATTCAGGGTGCGAGAGACAGCCCAAAAAACAGCTTAAAAAAGCCAAAAAAAGCCTATTGCACGGTGCAAAAAACAATAAATTGCACAATGCAAAAAAAATTGTGCTTTTTCACAGTGCATGTCGCAAAAGTCGCTCCAGCGACTTCATATAGCTCCAGATTTCATTCCGAACGGACTATCATACAGCCAAAATTTTCAGTTTTGGCCACAGCCAAGTCGGAAGGCCATTTGGATCCCACAATCGAGCTGAATTTTTACATTTGTGACCTTGGCGACAAATCACCATTAGATCCCAAATTCGCAGCACCGGAATACACCCATCTGACCCCGCTTTTGGAGGAGCAATCAATTGAGGAGCCGGCCAAAGTGGACGGAGTCGATTTTCAGTCAGTTTTGTGCTTTATCTACACCAGTGGAACCACTGGCATGCCGAAAGCAGCAGTAATGAGGGGATTACGGTAGGTTTTTTCTAACAAGAAAGTACTACTTGCCCAAAAAAATTAAAAATTAAATTTTTGGGCATTTTTGGAAGAAAAAACTTTTATAAAACAAAAAAAAGAGAATTTTTTTACAAGGAAAGTAGGATTTTTCGTCTCAAGTAAAATAATTTTTGCAATTTTTTGGGTCGCCAAATTGTGTACTGTAATAAAATGTCCATATAATGAATTTTTAAGAAAGATGGACCTTGTTTTAGACATCAAAAACCAAAAAAATAAATAATATCTTTCCAAAATTTTTGCAATTTTTTTGAATGGAAAGTACTTCTATGAGGTATGGAGTTACAGGTCGAGAGATATATCAAAAAAATCGCAAAATTTTTCTGATTCAGAATATGTAAAAATTAGCTGTCCAATTTTTGTTTGTAAGGGCGAAAAAACCCGTAAAAGCTTTTCTCGCAACACCACGCAAACGCCTTTTTGACCAAGTTTTTACCAATCCAAAAGCTTCGCTTTGAGCTAAAGTAAACCTGGTATTATGACGAGCCTTGAAATATTTGATTAATACTACACCTTAACAGTAGTTCCAAAGTAAAAAAGGGGCATTTGCGTGGTGTTGCAAGAAAATTTCTGAGGGTTTTTTGGCCCATACAAACCAAAATTCGGCAGCTAGTTTTTACATATTCTGAATCAGAAAAAATTTTCGATTTTTTTGATATATGTCTCGACCTGTAACTCCATACCCCATAGAAGTATTTCCCTTGTAAAAAATTTCTATTTTTTTTTGTTTTTTATAAAAGTTTTTTTTCCAAAAAACGCTCAAAAATAAAATTTTTAGATTCTACTCGATGGCTGTGGGCGCAGCCAAAGCGTTCAAAGTGTCTCCGGAGGACCGGATTTACATCTCGATGCCTTTATACCACACTGCCGCAGGCATTCTGGGAATGGGCCAGACAATTTTACGGGGATCCACAGCGGTTATTCGGCCCAAATTTTCGGCCAGCAACTTCTGGAAGGACTGTATTAAGCACCAGTGTACTGTAAGTTTTAAAAAAAATTTTTTTTTAATTTGATAAAAAAACTTTTTAATTTAATAAAAAAACATTTATTTTTGTATCACTAATGAATTGAAAGTTGCATATTTTACAACAAAAAAACAATCACTGTTAAACTTTAGGCCTCTCAGTACATTGGCGAAATTTGTCGCTACCTCCTGGCCCAGCCTCCAAGTCCAGAGGAAAAACTGCACAAAGTCAAATTGATGTATGGAAATGGCCTTCGCCAAGAAATCTGGCAAGATGTGGTGGACCGATTTGGCGTCCGAATCGGAGAACTTTACGGATCTACCGAAGGAACATCGAATTTGGGTGAGTTTAGGCTTTTTTATAGTTAAAAAAAAACTAATTTTTTGTCGAAACTAGTACAAAAAATATAAAAATGTGTTGAATAAAACTCGTAAATTAATTTTTACCTACAAATTTCACTGAATTTACTATTTTTGCTACCATTTTTACTCAAATTTCCCCAGTTTTTCTTCCAAATTTATTTATTCGCACCGTTTTCCTCTTCCCAAAAGAGAGCGGGGAAGAAAAAAGCACTTCGGAGCGTGCGCCATGATAGCTCAGTTGGGAGAGCGTTAGACTGAAGATCTAAAGGTCACCGGTTCGATCCCGGTTCGTGGCATTTTTTGAGTTTCGCGACTTTTTACCCAAAGAGGAAAGCCATCCGTATTTTACATTGCATTTTTTGATTAATAAACGGCATTTTACCACATTTTCGAGGGTTTAATTTCGTTAATTTGAAGAAGAAATATTTTTTTACATATTTTCTACAGTTTTGCCCTAAAATTTGCTTTTCAGTCAACATTGATGGCCAAGTTGGCTCCTGTGGATTCCTGCCTATCTCCCCTATTACCTCCAGACTCCATCCAGTGCGATTAATCAAAGTCGACGAGGCCACCGGCGAAGTTATCCGCGGCGACGACGGGCTTTGCATTCCCTGTAGGCCAGGGGAAACTGGAGCGATGGTCTCGACGATTCGTCGCGGCAATCCATTGCTCAATTTCGAAGGCTATTTGAATCAAAAGGAGACGAGCAAAAAAGTGCTGTCCGACGTTTTCCGAAAAGGAGATCAAGTTTTTGTGTCAGGTGAGGAAGGGTGATATAATTGCTAAAAAAAAGTCACAATTCCTCTGAACCGATAGATCTATCTGTTCTAAGGGACTTTAGAGACCTTTTTCTACCCTAATATACCATCTAAACCACCCATTGCTATGCAGTGGGTGATCTGATCCAGTGGCAAAAAACGTATCATTTTGCATCCGGGAAGTATCAAAAATGTGGCAAAATGCTTTCCTCTCCAAGTGAAAAAACTTCGTTTTGAAAAGCGCGCCCTTTTTCCTCACAAAAAAAGCGGGCGTGCTTTTGAAATCTGATTTTTTCACTTGGAGAGGGAGGTGTTTTGCCATATTTTTTTATGCTTCCTGGATGCAAAATGGTACGTTTTTTTGCCACTGGACCAGGTCCCCCACTGTATACCAACTATGGCTCTAATAAATCGCAATTTTCAGGCGATATTCTCCATTGGGACCGGCTTGGCTACGTCTATTTCCGAGACCGGACCGGAGACACTTTCCGATGGAAGGGCGAAAACGTCTCAACTACCGAAGTCGAGAAGGCCTTCTATGGCTCTTTGGAGCTTCGAAAATGCATTTCCGACGTCACCGTGTATGGAGTTCGAGCTCCCAGAACCGAGGGTCGGACTGGAATGGCGGCTATTGTCAAAAATCAGGATTCCGGGATCTCGGACGAGGCAAGACACTTATTTTGGATTAAAAATCGTGTTGTTATTCGATATTTGATTTGATTTTTCAGGAAATGGTTGAAAAAATTGCCGACCATCTCAAAGATCGATTGGTGGGACCGGCCATTCCCACCTTCCTGCGTCTGTGTAGTGACGTTCAGAAGACAGGTGAGCTTTTTTTAGCCCTCTAGACTACACTTCTAATACAGTGGGGGACCTGATCCAGTGGCAAAAAACGTACCATTTTGCATCCTGGAAGCATCAAAAAATGTGGCAAAATACCTCCCTCTCCAAGTGAAAAAACTCCGATTTCAAAAGCGCGTCCGCTCTTTTTGTGAGGAAAAAAGTTTTTTCGCTTGGAGAGGGAGGCATTTTGCCACATTTTTGACACTTCCCGGAGGCAAAATGGTGCGTTTTTGCCACTGGATCAGGTCCCCCACTGTACCTTACACCTTTCGAAATTACAAAAAACCAATATCAAGTCAACGAAATGTCAACTTTCCCTGTGCTGATAAAACATTCCGTAAACATAATCTGTCGTATTTTAGGAACCTTCAAGCTTATAAAAACGCATCTACAAAGCCTGGGGTTGGATGCCAACGACAATGATCGATTATTCGTCCTCCATCAAGGTGCCTATGTTCCATTCGACGCCGAAAAGCGACGACAATTGGACGATGGAACGCTTGGGTTGTAATTTATTCCTATTTAGTTATCTGTTATTGTTTTGAGGGTCATTTGAGACGAAATGTCAAACCCAATAATTTTTGTGACATTTCGTTCACTTTGTGATACTTTGGCGTTTAGCCCGAAATAGTGCCTTGAAAATGTCAGCAACTGCTCAAACGCCACTGCTCTTAGGATATTTGTATATTATAGTGCTCCTTTTCTGTTGCTCAAGCCCTTTTCATGTGTCATATAAATACACGCACGCCTTATAGATATCGAATTGTTCTCTTGTAACGGACATCAATGTCCAATTAGTTGCTCCTTCGTTCGTATTTTACTTTGAATTAGTTCGGAAAACCGGTTAAATTTCTATCTGATTACTTGTACAGATATTGCTCATATCAGTTATTGTAAGCCGTTTTAGTTGCAGTTATATTGCATTATGCTATTTTTGAGATCGTGTTGGAATAAATTATTGTAAAATACGATGCATTCGCAATATTATTTTAGCCCATAAAGGCCTAATAACCAAACTTTTGATATTAAAAATAATATTTTTAAACATCATCAGTGAATATCTAACGTTTAAAACGACTAGATAAGACATTTCCCACGTTCTCCATAAATAATTTCATTCAAAACCCAACAAAAACAAAGGCTAAACCAATTTAGCAGACTTTCGGCAATCTCCAAAGTCCATCGTTCAAATAATGGACATTATCAATGGCCGTACCAGTCGACTGCGTCAGAATCTCGCTGGAACTGAACTTTTGTTGCCCAATTGCCATCGCATGTTCCATTCCTTGGGCCATCACGGCGACCACTTGATCCTTTTTCACGTTTTCGGCCAATTTGGCGCCCGGACTTTTCAAACCCGGAGCCATGATATGAGAACCGTTGAGAACGGGGCGAATGGCACCTGTATCGACCTGAAAATAAATATTAGTTAGCAAGATGCATTTAAACTTCAAGATTTTATATTATAATTGGCCATCCGATGTCTTGTGGAAAAATGAGCTATTAAAATAATATCTTTTGCAATAAAAGGATGAAAAAGAGTCCTGAAGGCGTTGAAGGTATTCTATTATCTTCCACGAAAAAGTTACCACCACAAAAAAACAATAAAGCATAAAATTTTGAGAAACTTTACACATAGATCATAGATAACATAAAACTCGCAAAACCTCAAAGACAACAGTTCTTTTTGTTTTAGAAAAGGCAAAATAGCTTTCTCTAAAGTCTTCTGTTACTCTGCACTACATCAGCTGCCCAAATTTTCCACTTTTGACCACTAAAATTCAACAAAAAATGTCGAAACTCTTACCTGTTGATGTGGCAGAATGAATGGATACTTATGCAACAACCTTAGCGAAGGAATGTACGGCAAATCCCGGTGTTTGATGAATTGAACTGTTCCATCTTCACTAACCAGCAATTCCACATGGTCTTTGCACTTTATCACCTTGAAATTCTCCTTCTTCGGGAAGATCTCTTCAATCACCGTGGCCAAAGGTGGGTACTCCTCGATCAACTTGGCACGGATTCCACGCTGAAGTATAAATCCTTCTTCATGCTATTGAACAGCCCCGTAGAAAATTTATAGCACTTAGAAAGTCGGGAAAAGCTTTTTCGATACAATTCTACCATCCAAAAAAGGGAAAACAAAAAATTCATGAACCGTGAAAAATAATGGTAAATCCCAGTTCCAATAGCTTTTACGCGACGAGTGAAATCTTATTTTCCTTTTACAAAGCGAAATTCGTCAGAGTTTCAATCTTTTTTACCTAAAATTTCAAGAAAAACTATCAAACTCTTACCTGAACCGAAGATTTTAGCTGTTGCGAGCCATTGACGTCCTTGGTGGGGTCGAACTTCTTAAACATTGTCACAATTCTTACCTCTGACTACGCTATTCACACCAATTCCGTTTTTCTCGCTTCCGAAAAAAGAAGAACAATTTGTGGGGAAGACTTGACCAAAAATGACCGATTTGGGTCAACTGTTTCTCTCTTCAGGTTACTGTCGCAAACGCGGTAGTAATACTGACAAAGTCGTTTGCGGACCCCCGAAAGAGTGTTTCCAAAAAGTTATTAGCATAAACGCGTGCGTCGAAAGGGGCCGCAAGCCCTGAGGGGGCGCGCAGTTGTCATGGAGACGATGCGCCCAAAGCGCACTTGATCACAAAAGTTGCGCACTCGCCACCTGTTACCATGCCGCGTGCTTGAAATTCGCGGAGTGTTTGGGGCATAAGAGTTCGGTTTCAGATGGATTCCCTAAGATTTTTGGCCATCTTATCATTGCCCTCGGCTTGTGTGGCCTACGATTGGGGAGATTTTCACAAATTTGCAGTCATATTCTTCTCCCTACTGGGGACATTCGTTGGGCTTGGCGCCATCTTCACTGCCATCTATTTTGCCTGCTTCAAGAAGTTTTTGGAGGGCTTTAGAGAGGAGGTGAGTGGATGTGATCAAACGTCATGTATAATATCCCAAAAATTGTTTAGGTGGCCGAAACTCACAGAATGCACCATCCATGGCCTCTAGGCTCCGCCAGATGGTATTTCCAGCAATGGCGTAAGTTGCTAAGACCTTTATGATGTTTTCAACTTGATGGTTAATATCAGATAAAAAATCTTGATTTTTATATCTAATATACCAATTTTTAGTCCGAACTCAACGTTCTCAGGACCCTACTGGGCGTTCAGGAAAATACCCGCCGCCTAGTGCCTATCTTCAGCCGGAATATATTCCTCAAGTTCCAGTGGTTGATAAGTCGGTTCCTCAGACCACTTTTTCAACTCAAAAACCCTCCACATACATGCAGCCACCTACTCCGCAGATCTTTGTGGAGCGTCCAGCACTTTTCAGTCCAGGCCGTAAGCTTTTGACGACCCTGCACTGTGCGAAAGTCGACTGCACAGTGCGGATTTTTTCCTTGCACCGTGCAGCGCGCCCGAGGGCAAAGTTCGATTTCTCTTTTCTGTCGGTTTTTTCGACTACTCTTGCTCAGTATAATCCGCACTTTACTTTCCTCATGACGTCATTCAGCAGAGTGCAAGAGCTATTCCAAAATCTCCGCACTGTGCGAAATTTTGCAATCTTATATTGCACAGTGCAAGTGCCTAAAATAACTTTTGATTTTCCAGACCGCCCAACCCACGGAGTTACCGAACACTTCCAGGAGTATACCCTGGTTCGTGAAGAGAGTACAGTATCCCAGAAGGGCGGAGAAAAGCCAGTTGTTCAGCATGAAGGGAGGAGTGAAGATCGGATTGTCCGCACCACCACAACCAATCATAATCAACAAATTCTAGCGCCAGCTTCGACTACGTTCATCTAATTTCATAATTCATCCAAAACTGCCCCATCTTTTCTAACAAAATCATATTAATTTTATATTACACATCCCACTTGATATTACCCTCTAATTTATCTCAATTTACTGAAAGACGTTGAAAAAAACCTGATTTTAGTTGAATAAACATCTCTTTAGCAGCTCAATTCACTATCATCTCGAAGAAATTACATGGATTTTACCGATTTTTCGCAGATTTTTCTTCCACAGCCTGCGCCCTAACTTCTGCAGTTCGCGTCGCGAGCTGCGCCCAAAATTCTTTGCAAAGCAATTTATTTGGACGAGAAGATAAGTTTGTTTGCTCTCTCCACAAGATTTTACCACTTTACACCGCCGTTTTCTTATCAATCCATCATATCTCGCATTTTACACTGCCCGCTTGGTATTTATTCCATAAACCAACACTTTTCAGCTCAAAATTTCCCTTTTTCGAAGAATGACGGCCAGTCTCGCGCGTGTTCAAGGTTGGATAGAGAACTATGAACGTGTTTCGGCTGTACGGGAGCCGGTAGCAGGGCGGATTGTGTCGGTTCAAGACGATCTTATTCAAGTGGAGTCGGTGTGGACGAATCGAGAGCCTGTGTTGAAGAAAGCCATCAAGTCGACGAGATTTTCACTGCTGAATAAGGAGAACCTGACGCCGGTTTCGAGTATTGGCGGTCGGCAGATCGGTACGGAGTGAGTTGTTTTTGTTTTGGAGTTTTGAATTTTTAGGGACTTGATTGGAGATGGTCAAGAAGAAGATGTTGCCACTCCTGGCTAGCTGACTCTATTGGTCTGAAATTTTTTGTACTGTTTGGTAATGTAATTGGCTTGATACTAGCTGAATTTGGGGATGCGGTATAGCTTTTTTATGGAAATCTGGCATTTTCTTTAACGTTCTCGGATGTTATCCTTGTTTCTCGGGTGATCGATTGAATACCTAAAATTTGAGGCCTGATGTTCAAATTTTTTTCGTGAAAAAGTTTGAAGAGAGTCAGATTCACATTGTAAAATAGTTTCCATCTTTGGTTTGAGGTTTTACATCCAAAAAATTATATTATACATGACATCAATAAGATCTTCTCTCTTTCCGATAAAAAATGTTGCAAAATCGTCATGAATTGATGGCCAATGTAGTTGAGATGTATTTTTAGTGCTCACCCTACAATATACTCTCCTTCTGGCGCGCTCTCTGCTACCATTCTTTCTCAAACTGAAGGGAAGGATGAGAAGCAATTTTTGATCGTTTCATGCACTAAATCCCAACGAAGATTGAAGACCATCGATCTGGCGGCTTCCAAAAAGCACGGAAAAGTCCATGTGGCCAATGAATTTGGGGCGTTCAAGTTCTCCCATGACGAGGAGAAGATTTTGTTCGTAGCGGAGAAGCTGGTAAAGCCGACACATTTCTTTGATCCTGACCTGGATTGGACTGATGAGGAGAAGATTAGCAAGGTAGAGTTGTTTTTGATTTTTGCAATTGATATTTAGAACTTCATCTGGCCAAAATTTTGGTGATCATCAAGTGCCTAAATCAATATAAAACTGGATTTGAACTATACTTTTTTGTCTGAATTTTTGAATTTCCAGGCCAATGTTGGCGAAAAATTCGCAGTCCGCGAGTCCTGGGGCGAGCAAATGCCGGAAGTTAAGACCCCCGTCATCTGCACCTTGACCTGGAAAACTAATGTCCTGCGGCTAATTGAGACTGATATCTTTGAGGAGTTCAGCCCAGCACAATCCACATGGGCTCCAGAAGACACTGGCATCCTGTTTGTGGGCGTAAAGTCGACTCCGTTCAAGTTGGGGAAGATTTATTGCAGCAACAGACCGAGTCAGCTCTATTTCTACGACTTTAAGGCGGATTCATTCGAAAAAATTGGAAAATTTGGTGTCGGAATCGAAGGCTTGAGGGTGTCGCCGTGCGGAAAGAGGGTGGTTTGGTTCCAAAGGGATGGAACTGGACCTCATGGAGCCGGATTTGAGCTGTGGAAGGTGAGTTTAGACTAAGAATTACAAAAAAATAGTGGAATTATGGGTAAAAAGAAATAATAATAGGTAATATGAAGTGTGAAAAGGTTATTGATAACATATTTTACGTTGATATTACTGTATTTTTATAAAAAAGTTAGTATAAAAAGTTTCCATTTTTACGAAAATTTTTGGATAATTTCTAATTGAATTTGCCCTACAAATTATCCACAAATTTTCGTTCCAGTTGGATTGGACAAAGCCCGAACGGACCCCCGAATTACTAGTCCCATTGGTCCAAAAGCCGGAGAAAATTGGAGTAAGCGGAACATTCCCCGGATTCTACTTGCCGACACTGGTACGACAGCCATTTTCCAAGGGCCAATTGGTGGTTTCGACGTTATGGGGAGCTGCGAATACTGTGGTCCTAGTCGATCTGACTGATGGAAAAATAACAAAACTCCCGTATTATGAGAAGAAGATTGGCTCTACTTTCCCATTGGATGTCAAAGTGAGTGTTTTTCTTGGCGAGGTGACATGTTATACGATGAAAAAGTATTTTTGAATTTTTGTCGTATAAAATGTCGTTAAATTGAACTTCATTCAGTCTTTTGTGTTTAAAATGGCATTAGGGCATGGTATTTGATTTTGAGGATACATGTGAGATTTTATACGATGAAAAGTTTTCGAAAATTAGAGAACTTGAAGTTTTTCGATTTTTGCGTATAAAATGTCTCCGATGCAGAATTTTTTATTTTTAATGTCTGAAGAGTGACACTAAAAGACTATGAACAAAGATTTGAAATAGATTTTGAAGATATCTAGATGTTTTATACCTAAAAAAATTTCTAATTTTTTCATCGTATAAGATGTCCCCTGATTGTAATAAATGATGCCTTTAGGATGGATACCTCCTAGCTTACGCCTCCTCTCCAGCACGTCCAGCAACACTCGTTTTGGCCGACCTGAACGCCCAAAACATTGAATTCAAGCCGGTGGAGGCGCAAGATCCCAAAGTCGGATTGGAAGACTTGACCGAGAAGTGGGAAGTGGTTTATTTGAAGCGCGAAGGCAAGGAATTTTATATATTGATATTTTATATTGATTGAGGACCCGTAATATTGGTTGTGATGGGCTAGTTTGCTTTTAGATGGGCATATTTACGAGTCTTTCATCCGTTTCCCGAAGAAAGAGGGAAATTTCAAGGTTCCACTGGTTGTTTTGCCTCACGGAGGCCCTCATGGATGCTCAGTCATCATGTGGCATGGCACATTGATTGGCAGCTTGGTTGCAAGTGGCTATGCGGTTCTTCAGGTGGAACTTTGTCGATTTTTTGGGGGGAAAAATGGATTTTCTATTTGACCTGGAAAATCCTGGAATTGGATCGATCCGGCATAAAAAACAGCGACATTGCACGTTCAAATCAACAAGGCACATTCTGTTCAGAGTGGGCCACTCGAAACTCCCAACCTATTTTCGAGTATTTCTACGCCAATAATGCATCAATTTTCATAAAATTTCTATCAAATTAAAGCTGAGACACCCCATTTCTTGTTGTCCAAACATGGCCCTTTTAAGTTAATGGAGGCACCCGTACTGACCTTTGACATTTTCATTCTATTTTGGAGCCAAAAAAAGTGAAATTTGGAATGAAAATGTGAAAGGTCAGTACGGGTGCCTCCGTTAACTTAGACGGGCCATACTTGGATAACAAGAAATGGGGTGTCTCAGCTTTAATTTGATATAAATTTTATGGAAATTGGTTTATTATTGGCGGAGAAATACCTGAAAAGAGGTTGGCCACTCTGTACAGAATGTGCCTTGTTGATTTGAACTTGCTATGTCGGTGCTTTTTATGACGATTGAACCTGAACCTCTCCTTTTTTGAATACTCCCCGTTTTTGAAAATTGAAAAAATTAGGTGTGACATGTTATACGATGAAAGTTTTTTCAAATTGAAAAAAATTTTCAATTTTCAAAATGGCGGAGTGTTCAAAAAAAGGGAGATTTCGGAAAGGGGAGAGTTCGCCTGCAACGTTTAATGACCGATGGATCCAATTCCATGATTTTCCAGGTCAACTATCATGGATCCCAAGGCTACGGCGAAGAACTTCTCCGCCGGTTACCGGGAAATTGTGGTGATATGGACGTGAAAGACGTCCATTATGCGGTGGAGACAACCCTCAAAGCATACGAACAGCTGGACAAGGACAGAGTTGTCCTGTTCGGAGGGTCGCACGGAGGATTCTTGGTCAGTCATTTGATCGGCCAATACCCCGAGTTCTACAAGGCCTGTGTGGCACTGAACCCGGTGCTGAATATCTTGAGTGAGTCGATTTTTTGAGACAATGCCGGACCAAAAAAAAAACGCAAAAAATCGGCCGAAATTTCCAAAAAATCAATTTTCAGCCAAAAATTCACTGAAATAATGTCCGACTTTATAAAAACCTGCTTTAAAAATGTCCAATCTTTTTCAAAATCACCTTTACGATCTTTAATTACAGTGACGGGAATGATCCAGTGGCAAAAAGTGCCATTTTGCATCCGGGAAGTGTCTAAAAATGTGGCAAAATGCCTCCCTTTCCAAGTGAAAAAACCCTTTTAAAAAGTTTTTTTTAAAAAGCGCGCCCGTTTTTTTTGTAAATGAGTCCTTCAAAACGGAGTTTTTTAGTTGGAGGGGGAGGCATTTTGCCACATTTTTTGATACTTCCCATATGCAAAATGGTACCTTTTTTGCCACTGGATCAGGTCCGTCACTATAATTGAAGGTTGTAAAAAGGTTATCTTGAAGAAGATTGGACATTTTTTAAAGCAGGTTTTAGGGAAGTCGGATAGAATTTTAGTGAATTTTTGGCTGAAAATTGATTTTTTTTTTGGAAATTTTGGCCGATTTTTTGTTGATTTTTTTTTGAAATTTAGGCCGATTTTTTTTGGATTTTTTGGAAATTTTGGCCGATTTTTTTTGAAATTTAGGCCGATTTTTTTTTGGATTTTTTGGAAATTTTGGCCGATTTTTTATTATTTTTTTTTTTTGAAATTTAGGCCGTTTTTTTTTTTGTTTTTTGGCCTGAAAATTGAATTTAGAGGATTGACAACCGGATTTATGGTATAAATAAATCGTTTTTAGCCATGCACGACCTCACCGACATCACCGATTGGACCGCCTACGAAGCGCTCGGCCAATGGCCCGACTTCCAGAAAGTTCTCAGCCCCGAGGAACGCGAAAAACTCTTCGCTTCCTCGCCAGCAGCTCATGCGAACAAAATCAAGACCCCATATTTGCTGCTAATTGGAGAGAAAGACTTGAGAGTGGTCCCACATTATCGAGGATTCATCCGGACTCTTCAGGCCAATGGATCCACGGCCAAAGTCTTGTCCTATCCGGAGAGCAATCACCCCCTAATTGAAGTCGAAGTGGAATCTGACTTTGTCATCAACATGATCAAATGGTTCGATCAGCATAGTCAATAGAAATACGAGTTGTTTTACCATAGAGAAATATAATAAATATTTATTGATCATTTCATAGTACACTTTGTAAACTTCTCTTGTTACCCCAAGTGCGATCCTCAGATTTTCTTCAAATTTTTCATACACTTCATGCATAAGCAGTAGGGACCTGATTCAGTGGCAAAAAAGGTATCATTTTGCGCCTGGGAAGTATCAAAAATGTGGCAAAATGCCTCCCTCTCCAACTAAAAAAGCTCCCTTTTTACCTGCGCGCTCTTTCTCTCACAAAAAGAGTGGGCGCGCTTTTGATTGAAATCGGAGTCTTTTCACTTGAAGAGGGAGGTATTTTGCTACATCTTTGATACTTCCCGGAAGCAAAATGGTATGTTTTTTGCGAATGGATCAGGTCCGCCACTGTAGCTTTTACAAAAAATCGATTTTTTGTGGAAGCATTTCCCTTTACGGTAGAAATAGGCGCTGATCTGATCCAGCGGCAAAAAAACGTATCATTTTGCCTCCGGGAAGTATCAAAAATGTGGCAAAATGCATCCCTCTCATACTAAAAAACTCCGTTTTGAAGGGCTCCCTCACAAAAAGAGAGCTTTTGAAATCGGAGTTTTTTACTTGGAGAGGGAAGCATTTTGCCACATTTTTGATACTTCCCGGATGCAAAATGATACGTTTTTGGCCAATGGATCAGGTCCCCACCGTACACATAAATTTCTGAAAGTTTTAGCTCGCGCTATGCACAGGCAGTTGAGATATGCAACGATCTTTACGGCCGAAAGAGTCCGCCACTGTACATTTCTCAGGTCTGCGAGGAAAAACTCGATTTTTTGGGGAAACATTTCTCTTTACATATTAGCATTACAGCGGCAGATCTGATCCAGTGAAAAAATCGTTCCATTTTGCATTCGGGAAGTACCAAAAATGTAGCAAAATGCCTCCCCCTGCAACTAAAAAAACTCCGTTTGAAGGGTTTTCTCACAAAAAGAGCCGGCGCGCTTTTGAAATCAGTTTTTTCACTTGGAAGGGAGGTATTTTGCCACTTTTTTGATGCTTCCTGGATGCAAAATGGTACGTGTTTTGCCACTGGGTCAGGTCCGCCACTGTACGTTCCCAAGTTCGCCAAAAACCGCCGTCACCTTTTGCCGACTTTCGATCTAAAACTCTCGCTTGTTTCTGCAAAGCGCGAGCTAGGAAGTCTCGCATCAATCATAGAAAAAATTATCCTAAATTTGCTGAAAATATGTATTGATTCAATCTTTGCACCCGCCAAATTCAGCCACCGCCGACATTAAGATTTTCAAAAATTTATTCAACAACAAACAATATGTCATTCAGCAATTGTTGCATAGATAATATACACTTTAATCCATATTTTAAGAAAGTTATGAGATTTTCAACTACCGAGATATTATGAATTTTATAGAATTCTGCGAAAAATATTATCCTTTGCGCCCTCCACGTTGGCCAATCAGCTTCAGCATGGGGCAATATTGAGAGAGCTCACTGAAAAAAAATAATTTTTAATTGTAATTGTGACATAAAAATTGAAAAAAATTTTTTTTTTGAATTGCACAGTGCAAAAAAAAGTATATTATTTTTTTCAAAAAACTGCACTGTGCAGTGACTTTTTGGACTTTCGCACTGTGCGATGACTTTTCGTTTTTAATGCACTGTGCGGTGGAAGATAAAAGCAATGTAAAAATTGTTTTTGACAATGAAATACGACGTCTTTCTCAGCATATTCAAAAATTTTTTAGGAGATTAGACCTTTTGTTACAGTAGTTATGATCAAAAATTCTTTTCAAACTGCACTGTGCGCATTTTCCAAATTTTACCGCACTGTGCGGCGGGATAAAAATTTTGTCGCAGAGTGCGGGAAAGTTGTTAAAAATGATTTTAAAAGTGATAAATACCACTAAACTAACAAAAGAAGTACGCAGCGACGCTCAGATTTTCTTTAAATTTTGCACACGCGTTTTCCACAGAGAAAAACATTTTTTGGCCATAACTTTGCTAGTTTCGCGCGGAAAAAAATAATTTTTTGTGGAAGCATTACCCTTTACGGTAGGAATAGATATGGAACTTTTCGTGTCAAAATTCGAAAAAAAGTCCCAAAATTTCGCCGACTTTCGGTCTAAAAATCTCGGTTGTTTCTGCAAAGCGCGAGCCAAGAATCTCGCATATATCTTCGAAAAAACCATTCTAAATTTGTGCCAAGTTTCATCAAAATCTGAGCGTCGCAACTTGGGCTACTCGCCATTTTTACCATTTTTTCAATCTCGGTGTTTGTTTTATCATTTTTTCAAAAATTTTACGAGATTACGTCATAAAATTAATCAATAGTTTCAAAAAAATATAATTATTTATGCTCCGGGACCCGGAAACCCCAGTATATGCCATGACCCAGGAAGGGCGACCCCAAAAAGCCCACCCCGAAAGGGCCCACCCCGAAAAGGCCCACCCCGGAAGGCCCCAGCCCGAAAGGGCCCACCCCGGAAGGCCCCACCCCGAAAGGGCCCACCCCGAAAGGGCCCGCTTCCGTAAATTGCAACTCACTTCAGACCCGCCTTCACAGTGCATTCGCACAATTCGCCGGCCTCCTTCTTGAAGTCAATCTTCTTGGTGCAGGTCTTCAGCGATTTTCTCGTCTTCTTGTCCGCAATCAGCGGCTGGCATTGTTTCTTGTCGAAGCAGAAGCCATCGGGCTTGTTTTTCGCGATGAAACAGTCCTTCACGCAAAGCCCAAACTCTCCGATCGTGTCGACAATCTTTTTGATCGAGTTGGACAGGGTCTTGGTCATCTTGGAGGAGGTCTTGTTGATTCGCTCCACGCCCAAAGTGAACATCTTGTCAATGTCGACCGGCTGGATCTTCTTGTCCTCATGCTTGGCGAGGCAGCTGAAAAGATGTAAATTTTGTGGAGAAAATACAGTCTTTCTGTGAGGGAAAGGCCGCGTCCTTCAAAAAACGTGCCATTTTGGATCCGGAAAGCGTCAAAAAATGTGGCAAAATGCCTCTCTCTCCAAGTGAAAAAGCTTCCTTTTGAAGGGCTCCCTCAAAAAAAGGGCGGGCGCGCTTTTGAAACCGGAGTTTTTTTACTTCGAGATGGAAGCATTTTGCCACATTTTTGATACTTCCCGGATGCAAAGTGGTATGTTTTTTGCCACCGGATCAGGATCAGATCCCCCACTCTACGTGCCCGACTTTTCGGGTCGGCGACAGTTTGGGTCATCACAAAATCGATCGATACGGGGCATAAGCCACGTGAACACCCAAAAAAAGGTTTTAAAAAGTGCCTATAAGGCCTGAAAAAACATTTCTTTTTGTTTTTGATGGTCGACGGAGACCTGGCGAAGGCTCGGCGAAGACTTTCAACATGTCCAATTTTTCTAATTCTTGCTATTTCTAACGTTAGTTGTCTTCACCCTGAGTTACCGTAACACATAAAAGACCAAAATTTGCGGCAAAAAAGTGAATACCCGTAACTTTTATCTAGATATTATTGATGTGAGTACATGTAAAATACATCAAACTAGGTGATAAGCTATCCTAGGACCCGATAAATCTTATTATTTCTACTAATTAAGGCTTCCCCTAGTCTCCCATATTCATACAACTACAAACCAACAAGATTAATTGTATCGTTGAACCGAACAGCCGCTGAACCGAAAAGTCGTAGCGATGAGAAATAAATACAGTCAAAAAATGCTTTTTTTACAACCGACTCCCTTCATTTTTTCCCATATGCAAGGATCGCTGAATATTTCAGCGACTTCTGCAACGGGCGAGCTAAGATTTTAAGTAGTCGATATAGAGTCTATAGAGATTGTTTGTGCCAATTTTCAAGGAAATCTGCGCTGTCATCTTCGCGCACTCCTCTTTTTTAGTCATCCTAGTCTTTACCAGCCATTTTTACAAAAAACCTCATTTTCGAACACTTGCAACTCAAAAATCAAAGCAGTTACACTACCCTCTACACCCCTATCCTATCGCATTTTCATATCAAACCACGGAACTTACGAATCCGCATTGTGTTCGAAGCAGTCCAACAAAGTTGCCAGCATGTCATCCTTGTCGCTGAAGCACTTCCTCAGCTCGTCCGGCTTCTTCGAAATGGCGTTAAATTTACTCCAACAGGTATCCACACATCCCATGGCCTGGTCCTTCATCTCTTTCACGCACTCGGACTGCTCCTCGCAAGTGCATTGGCGAATTTCGGCGCCCGGAATCAGGGATTCGTTGATGATTTTGCGGGTCTCTTGAGTCAACTGGTCGAAAACATCGGCTTGCACTGCGACGACGAGGAATATCGTCAAGATGAAGGACTTTGAGACCATGTTGACTGGAATTTTGTCATGTTTTAGCAAAAAAACGATGATTTCGCGAAGGGGCGACATTTTATACGCAAAAAAGTTTAAAAGTTTAAAAAATCTGTAAATATAGTGTGGCGTTGAGAATATTAGGCAATATTTAATTTAAAAGATATAAAAAACAACATCCAAAGGTTTTTCGGGCAGGCGACATTTTTATACGATGAAATATGTCCATTAAATTTTTTGACCCAAAACCTTTTAAAAACATGTTTAATCGTATAAAATGTCACCAAAAACACTTCAGTTTTCTCGATATCAAAAACAAATCCTACCACAATCAATTACTTCCATATTTATAGCTTCAAACAATAAAAAATAATATTTCAAAATTTCATCGTATAAAATGTCCCCCCAAAAAAACACAAAAGCGAAAGTAAAAACAACACAATCCGCATAAACCCTCGGTGAAAAAGACGAACGCTTCGGGATGATTTCCGACTTTTGTGGGGGGAATAGTAATTCCCCCGGATAAAGAGCTCAAAAAAGCTAAAACAGCTTGAAAAAATCCCAACCAAAAAAAGGTTCCACATAACAAACGAAGAGCGGAAACACCCATGGTGTTCAAACCCGTCGCCGACAAACACCACGGACATTACTATATACGGAAAGTCAGGTAGTTCAGGGACTGAAAAATTGAGATTTTTGAGATTTTTTGAAAAAATTCTAGAAAATGTGTCAGTGGGTGTCAAGAAAATTTTAAATTTTTCGTCTCTACATCATTTAGAGACCAAGCATTTGCTCAAAAAATCGAAAAATTTAAATTAAAAAATTTTTTTAGGTCCCACCACGAAAACAATAGATTTTGCAAAACCGCAAAAAATCGTATTCATTAGCCAAAATAAATACAAATTCAGCCAAGAAATCATGTTTTCATCGCAAAAATCGCATTTTTATCACTTTTCCAGGTCCCACCACGAAAACAATAGATTTTGTAAAACCGCAAAAAATCGTGCTCCTTAGCCAAAATAAATACAAATTCGGCCAAAAATCGGTTTTTCATGACTAAAATCGCATTATAATCATTTTCCAGGTCCCACCACGAAAACTTGACAATTTGGAAAAATCTTCTATTTCGTCTCCTGAACCTCCTAAACCAATAACAACGTCTAGATTCCTTCATAAATCGACGATTTGGACCCATAAAAAGCGAAAAAAATCTCGTTTTGACCAACCCGTTCAGCGAACTTCATCCCCCCAAAAAGGTGGCTAATTCCCACTCAAAGCCAACATAATAAATTTTCAAACCGCCACCAACCCAAAGCCCATATATCAGGGAAACAACAAAGAGCATTATTTTCAGCGACCTTCCGCCCGGAAACGACTATCAAAGGTAGTAGAGAATTACAATAGAAAAAGTGGGATGATTGTTAAAAAAAAGGGGGGAAGAAGTTTTGCGACAGGAGTTGCTTTCGGGCAATTATGATTGCAGTGTGTTTTGTGGTCACGATGGAAAAAGTTGGGTTCGAAACTAAGCTTACTGGCGGGGATGGACTGTTTGACCGCATATATGACGTCATAGCGCCATTTATATATGGAGGGAAAATCGAGGCTGTATTGTAATCATGTCTACTGCCGCTGTAGGACAGAAAAACGATCTTTTCTTTCTCTGTCCCTCCTCTTTTTCCATGGCGTACATATACAGCTCACAAGCAACATAAAGGCTTTCAAATACCTCATATGCCGCTTCAACACGCGAACTAAAACTTTCAGAAGTTGATGTGTGATCCAGCCAGAGCGTGAGAGAAAAATTTGGAGAAAAATCGGTGATCGCACTTTGCCCACCAAAAGACGACATCAAACATCACACCACGACTTCATTTTACACACAAATTGAGCACAACTTTTAGTCATCAGACCCTTATTTCGGCCGTCATAGACCTTTCAGGTTCTAAACAAAAAATTTTTGGCCAATTCTCCGCACAATAAATGTATGAGTGTATTTGCAGAGTAGCTCAAGTGATTTTTGCAACATGCACTGTGCGAAAACAAAGGTTTCCTTTGCACTGTGCAATTTCTTACTTATTTCAACGTGCAACACGCTTTTTTGGGCTGTCGCTGACTTTCTGCGCATAGCGGGTATATTTTTTGCCATAGAATCAGGTCCGTCACTGCAGCAGCCATGTCTGTCATACTATTATACTTTTCCGTGTACCCGTAGTTTCAATCGCACAATGACTATATCTTTACACTTCCCTTTTTACACTCCCCCACATCTATTGCCGGATTCTTCCGTCTTCCACTAGCCCACTTCGTCGGGATTCAACAAGTGTTCTCCACAGGCTATAAGGTCGTCGGAGCCCAAAACACAATGTCAAAAGTCGGTCGGCATTTTTTCCAACAACTTCGGTATAAATACAGCTGCTAAAAACTCGCCAGATTGATTTCTGACGTTTGCACAGTGCGGAAAAAGTCAGGGTCGAGCGACAGTCCAAAAAGCCTACTGCACCGTGCAAAAAGCAAAAAATTGCACGGTGCAAGGTGAACTTTCGTTTTCGCACTGTGCATTGTCGCAGAAATCACTCTAGCGACTTGCACTGTGCAAGAAAAGTCAGGGTGCGAGCGACAGTCCAAAAAAGCCTTTTGCACGGTGCAAAGTGAACTTTTGTTTTCGCACTGTGCATTGTCGCAGAAATCTCTCGAGAGACTTGCACTGTGCAAGAAAACTCAGGGTGCGAGCGACAGTCCAAAAAAGCCTTTTGCACCGTGCAAAAAGCAAGAAATTGCACGGTGCAAAGGGAACATTCGTTTTCGCACTGTGCATTGTCGCAGACATCACTCCAGCAACTTGCACAGTACGGAAAAAGTCAGAGTGTTAGCGACAGCCCAGAAAAGCCTGTTGCACGGTGCTAAGTTTAAACTTCTTTTTGCACTGTGCATTGTCGCAGAATTCACCCCAGCGACTTGCACAGTGCGAAAAAACTTAGGGTGCGAGCGACAGCCCAAAAAAGCCTATTGCACGGTGCAAAGTGAAAACTCCTTTTTGCACTGTGCATTGTCGCAGAATTCACCCCAGCGACTTGCACAGTGCAAAAAAAGTCATGTGAGCGACAGCCCAGAAAAGCCTACTGCACGGTGCAAAGTGAACTTTCTTTTATGCACAGTGCAAAGGCCAAAAATTACTCCAGCGACTCAACGAACCATTAAAATAAATTATCAAACCGCTTTCACCCATAAAACATTGTCGAATTGGTTTGCCTCAAGAACCCGAGAAAAAGCTGGCCCCCTCCCCCCAAAGTGTTCGACAATCACTTGATTTGTTTTTTAATGTTGACCGGTTTCTGCTTTGGGGGCTGAGAAACCCTTCAGAGCGCAAGTAAACGCCACCATCCATCATCCACGACCACAAAACATAGCCACAAATTCGAGGAAGAACGCCCGGGATGATTCGAAAACACGAACGCTGGAATTGTGTCAACGCCGAAGCGGTGACAAATATTGAAGTCATTCGGGAAAAAATTGACGACCGACTTTTGACATTGTGGTTTGGGCTCCGGCGACCTTATAGCCTGTACGGAACACTTGTTGAATTCTGATGAACTGGGCTAGCGGGAGACGGAAGAATCCGGCAATAGATGTGAGGGAGTGTAATTAGTTACTGTGCGATTGAAACTACGGGAAAGATAAAACAGTCATGAGTAGTCAGACTCCTTTTTTGAACCGTGCAAGCAACTAAATTGCCCGTTTATGGCTTGAAACAAAAATGTCGCACATCTTTTCTTGCCCTCAAAACAAATTGTGTAATAGTTGCGCCATAAAGTCCACAGATTTTTTTCGACGGCGTCCGGAAAGTTCAGCGACTTTCCGGAAGGAGTATTAGACAGCAAAAAATACTACGGACTTTATGGCGTGGCTAGTAAGCACATGCCGTTCGCATAGTCGCTGGAATAATTGTTGCGACATTCAAGGTGCACCTTGAATGTCGCAACAAATTGTCACGACCTGAGTCAGAACACATGGATTAGTGATCAATATTCTAGCTCCTATCTAAGATCCCAAGCCCAACTAAGTCTGTACAAACTATGACAAACGAATAGCTAAGCCCTAAGCAACAAATACAATGGTCAACTCACAATGTTAAACTTCGGAAAGCACGATATTCGTTGACTTGACCATCCAATACTATACGATAGACAGAGAGTAGAAATACAATGTATTCTACGACACAGACAACAACCGCTTCAGCGGGAAAAATACAGAAGAATAATCCGTGGGAATGTGCAAATTCTCACACAAAGTCGTGACTCGTCGCGGCAATTATTGAATTGCACAGTGCAAAAGGTCATACGCACAGTGCGCAAAACGTGTGACAAAAAGTCTACGCACTTTGTGCAACGACTAGTAGTAGCATTTTCATTCAATTTTCATACATTACAAACAACAAATCAAGAACCAGCCGGATGTTTGTCGCCCACAAAAACCGAAAGAAAATCTATTTCTTCAGGCTGCCAGAATACAATACATATTGCAACCAATCGTTACAGCAAAAGTCAACGAACAATTTTTAAACGACCTGTTCTTTAGACCTAACCAAAAGTTGCTTTTACAACCATAAATATCCCGTCAATGTTTATCAAAGCCCCTTAGGGCATATCCGTGGATTTCTTTCGATGGGTCGATTACGAAACTATTTATAAGTAAAATACCCGAAAATCACATGGGTGTTTCGCCACGGCTCTTTTTTTGCTTGGTGAACTTTTTTCGCGACATTCTAGCGGTCAAAATATATATCTTATATTAGCATTACAGTGGGGGACCTGATCCAGTGGCAAAAAACGTATTATTTTGCATCCGGGAAGTGTCAAAAATGTGGCAAAATGCTTCCCTCTCGAAGTGAGAAAACTTCGTTTTGAAGGCTTTTTGTGATGATGCTCTTCAAAAACGAGGTCATTATTTGAAGAGGGAGGCATTTTGCCACATTTTTTGATACTTCGCGGATGCAAAATGGTACGTTTTTTGCCACTGGA